ATGGCGTCTTTACAGCAGGAGGCTTCCGGCGCTCTAGGCGTTCACTATTCAGCTTCGCATTCTGGCTCGAAGGCGGGTGATGTCAACGCCCGTGTGGAGGAGGAGTTTGCTGACTTACTCTCACAAGATAAGTACTGTTTCGACTCTGAATACGAACAATGTTTGTCCTCTCGTGGTTTTGAGTATAAGCAGGGGTCAGCGCCCATAGTTTATAAGGATAGGCTCAGGAGCAAGGTTGATTTTTGGGTTAGTATCGGTTCCTCCCCTTGGGTTCTTTACATCATCCCTTTCGGTTATCGCATCCCTTTTATTTCATGGCCTCCCAGAGCTTTTTTCTGTAACAATACTGGGGTCTGCCTTAGATCACGCCAGTTTTGTTGACAGTGCTATTTCTGATCTGCTTCTTGCGGGTTCCGTTATCGAAGTTTTTACGCCTCCCACGGTTGTCAATCCTTTAACGGTTTTCGTTAACTCTGTGGGAAAGCGCCGCCTTATTCTCGACCTCCGTCACGTCAATAAGTTTATTCCTAAAGTTAAGTTTAAAATGGAGGATAGTAGGACTTTTCTTAATTATGTACACTCGCCAGGTTATATGTTTAAATTCGATATGAAGTCTGGGTATCACCATGTAAGCATTCATGAGGAATCTCAAACATTTTTAGGCTTTCAGTGGCCCCTCGGTAGCTCTGTAGAGCCCAGGTTTTTTGTTTTCGCCGTGCTCCCGTTCGGTCTCTCGTCAGCGCCTTACGTGTTCACAAAGGCTTTTAGGCCGTTAGTTAAGCATTGGCGCTCCCGGGGCATACCCTTGGTCTTGTATTTAGACGACGGCGCCGGATGCCTCCATGATTTTTCGGTAGCTCAGAGTACTGCTTCGGCTGTTAGATCCGATTTGGCCAACGCGGGCGTGGTCGCCAATGAGGAGAAATCTATTTGGGTTCCTACCCAGGTTTTGGAATGGTTGGGCATTGTCTGGGATCTTTCGCGTGGCCGCATATTTATTCCTCACCGCCGCATTGTCAAGCTGCTTAGGGCACTCCTATCACTAAAATCTGGGTCTCGCTCCGTTACCCCACGCGCGGTTGCCTCTGTTACAGGGCAAATTATTTCTCTCACCCCTGATTATGGCAACATTACACTCCTTATGTCCAAATTCCTCCAATCATTCGTCAAACTTCATAGCGGGTGGGATTGTTGTCCTTTGGATTTTAGGTCCTATCAGTTTTTCTCCGAATGCCTTCAGGAAATTGATTTCTGGCTCTCTAACTGTGCCAGACTCAATGGGAGGTCTCTCACCAGATATTCGCTTCCCGTGACTCTCGTGTATTCCGACGCCAGCAGTTTCGCCTGCGGTGGGTGTGCCTTCCGCGTTGATAGCGAGGAGTTCGATCTTTTCTTTCAAGCGTTTTCCTCTTTGGAGTCCGGTTTAGATAGTAACGCCAGGGAATTGTTAGCCATTCTTTACGGCCTGAAATCGTTTCGCGCTTCCCTTACGGGCAAAGTGGTCAAGGTCTTTACGGATAGTAAGAATGCGGCGTCTATTTCCGCCAAGGGCAGCAACAGCCTTCGTTTGCATGCTTTAGCTCTCGAAATTTTCGCCTATTGTGCCGCACATGATATTTCACTTGAAGTTGAGTGGATCCCACGCTCACTCAACTCTTACGCGGATTCGGTCAGTCGCGTTGTTGATTATGATGATTGGGCTGTTTCCACTATTTTCTTCCAACATGTTAGCAGTATTTTTGGTCCTTTTGACGTCGATCGTTTCGCATCCTCTCTTTCCGCTAAGTGCGAGCGTTTTTACTCTAAGTTCTGGTGTCCCGGTTTCGAAGGCGTGGACGCTTTTAGTGCCAGTTGGGGCGGCGTTAACAACTATTTGGTTCCTCCAGTCTTTCTTGTCGCGCGTACGTTAGCGCATTTGGAAACGTCTCGCGCGCGCGGTACGCTTATCGCCCCCAAATGGCCTTCTGCTAGTTTTTGGCCTTACCTCTTTCCTCTAGGTCACCCTCGGGATTCGGTTTCCCGAATCATAGAATTTTCTGACCCGTCAGGTATTTTTGACGATTCCCACTTGGGGGTCCCTACTATTTTTAGCGCTTTCAGTTTTCGCGCTCCTGTACTTGTTATTTATTTGGACGCCAGCTCGCGTGTTTAGAGGCGTTATTCAGGCATTGGTACTTTATTGCAGAGCTTTTCGCGCTATTCCATGTAGCGCTTTTTAGGGTTCACGGACGACTCTCGTTGCTTTATAGCGGTTCACGTATGCTGTTAAGCGCTTTATAGCGGTTCGTGTGTGACCCTTGTCGCTTTATAGCGGTTCACGTGCGATATTTAGTGCTTTATAGCGCGTGTCCTCTTTTCGGTTTATTCCGGTTCGTTTTTTCATAGTTTTTTACAGGCTAGTGCCTTATTGACGGTCGCTCTAGAGCGTGTTTGCTTATCTTTTGTAAACCTATGGCCTTTGTTGGCAACGTTGTACGAATTTTCGGGTTTTTGTTTTCTCCGCATATTGTTGTTATTGCCTATACTTAGTATGTACGTGTTATTGGCTGTCCACGTTTAATAAATTGCAATCGGAATTCCACGTCTACCATTTTTCCCCATTTCTCTTATGCCTTATTTTTTCCTTTATTTGTTTACAAGTTCCAGGGTATCACGCGTTCACCATCCGCCTTTGGAGAGCCTGCGTACGCACATTCCAGCGGTTCGTGCCCACAGCAAGGCTCCTAGCACGTTCAAGACCTACCACCGTTGTTTCAAGCGTTGGAAATCTTCATAGGGATCTTCATATTCCTCCATTCAGCAGGCGTTCTACAGTATAAGCTTTTTCATAATGCTTGCGGGGTCTCGAATCCTTGTAAATCAGCTTTTCTTCTGGCTATTCTAGAAGGTTGTAAGCGCGTTGCTTCGAAACCGTCTAAGTTGAATAGGGTACCCATTTTGCCTGAGCATTTAGTCGCGTTAGTTAATAGATTTGCTACGCCCTCAGCATCCCTCGGGGATATCAGGGACGTTTGCTTTTGTTTGCTTGCTTTTGCTGGTTTTTTGCGCTTTGACGAGTTAAGTCGTCTTGGGTGCTCTGACATTTCTTTCTTTCAAGATCATATTGAGCTCTACGTTTCCAAAAGCAAAGTCGATCAATTGGGTAAAGGGTGTACTTTAGTTATCGCTAGTACTGGTACCCCCGCATGCCCCTGCGCTATGCTGCTCCGTTATGCCGCTCTGGCTACGCGTAATCTTGATTCGGTTGAGTTTGTTTTTCAAAACCTTAGTTTTTCCTCTTCTAAGGGTTATTCCCTTCGTTCCGGTACGAGTTTGTCTTACACCAGGGCGAGGGAAGTCGTTTTGGCTAAGTTTCGGGCCATCGGTGTTGATACGTCGGATATAGGTTTGCACTCGCTTAGGATAGGGGGCGCTTCGGCTGCGCTTAATAGCGGAGTTCCCGATCACGTCATTAAAAACCACGGCAGGTGGAAATCTGACTCTGCCAAGGATTTATATTGCCGTGAAAATCTCCGACGTCAGCTTCTTGCTACTTCGCGCATAGGTCTCTGAGTTACGAGCGCTCGCTCTCGTTCTTTGTTTTTCTCGACACAACTGGTCGTGTCCTTCCTATTTCAACGTGTTGTTGCCTTTCTGCTGATTAGAACTTAAACGTTTTCTCTGCGGCGGAACGCAGTGACATAGCAGAGAAATGTGTTTATGTTCGGAATTTGCATTTATGGCCGCAGTTTGATCCTCTAGGGATTTTACGTCACATCTCGGTATTTAAGCCTTGTCGCCTCTCGCGTTAGTCACTCGACACAGCCAGTTTTACCGCTCGCACCTTGCCGAGCTTAATTTTTCTAGTATGCTGTTTACGTTTAGTCTCGTAGTTTACAGTGATGTAATTCGTTTTTCTCCGCCACTACTTTATTTCTTGTACGTTAGCTTTTTCTCGTCCCCAATAAACACAACTGGTCGTGTCCTTCCTATTTCAACGTGTTGTTGCCTTTCTGCTGATTAGAACTTAAACGTTTTCTCTGCGGCGGAACGCAGTGACATAGCAGAAAAGTGTAGAATACCAGGCTCTCGGGGAATATCCGCCGAAATCCAACTAAAGTTCTGTCCATTTCCGAGTGGAAATCGGCATCAAAGGACGTCATTAGTCACGCGAACATTGAACGGCCGGAATGACTATGGCTTTCATCCCACTCGAGCATGAGCGTCTCTCGAAGGATACAGAAGACTTCGGCGGTAAACAAATCTCGACAGATAAATGACAGGGTCTCCATCGAGCCATGTAGTCGTCTTAGTCCAGCAGATTGGTGTAAAAATTGTGGGATTTATGGTAAAAGGTAGATATTCGTTAGTTTATCAATGATAGCTATGGACCCACCCGGAATCTGCCCCCTAATTTGCATAATTTAAGGTAGAAGTGTCACCCACTGGTTGATTAGCATGAAAACGAGGCTCAGATACAATCTTTTATTTAACATGAATTTTTAACTGTTTATAGACCATGAATCAATAGCTGAATGATTTTTATTCGAGATAAAACTTTATGTGGATATTTTGAGGTGAGGTACCTCGTTCTGGTAACGAGGTTAATGCCAATTAGTGCAGAATTTTGAAAAGTTAAGTGAGAGATTAAGTGAATAAAATGGACGCATAAATGTATTAAAACGACTTGTTATAGTCACAGATACTTCTTTTGTGATTAAAGAACGTGTACTTAAGCTCTCCTAATGACAAAAAGGTACCAGGTACCAGGACATGTCTTCTGTGTTAACTGATATCTTGGTAAAACAACGAACAATATGTTCTTTTGAAGCTCTCTGAATAACTAAAACAAATCTGAAAAGTATTTTCAAAGTTCTTATTTAAATACAACATGGTGCTACTTTAAAATAATGTGGCATTACAGATATTTGAAGACGCACGTTATCTACCGATCTGAAGTTAACGTGTATGTCTTCATTTACGACCCTGTGGACTCATCCCTCTCACAAAGACTGCTGCAGTTACACAAGGCTGTACACCTCGGCTCTAACACATTTACATCTTCTGGTGCAGCCCTTGTAACTTTTGCATCCACACTTTAACAGCTCCAGGCAGCTCTGCGATGCTTCTGGAAGGGTCATAAATAGTGGTTCCCAAACTAGACTGGCACTCCGCACCCAGCCCCATTCACTTAGACATGGGAGGGGATAGGATGGCACCAATGCCTTGCCCCAGCAGTGCCCAGCTTGGTATGCACATCGCTTTGTGTGCAGACGCAAGGCGTCAGCCGTAGGGGGAATACCTTCAATGTCTCTCTCCTTTCGTGTAAAGAGATCTCTACGAGCTTCATTTACTTCCTTGCAAGTGTTAGAACGATCGTACATGATGATAACGTAGCGCTCCAGAGTAGGCAACTGTTCACAGACGTCTTCCAGCGTTGGTGCATCGCTCAGGACTTGAAAAGATGTTGTCACTTCACTGAAAGCATCCCAAGCCTCCCAGGCTGTCTTCTTTCCGCAGTGTGCGAAGAAGGATGTTTGGTCAGTGAAAGCGTGAAAGGCGAGAAGTGCTTGAGACTTAATTGGACCGATACACTGGCAAATATCGTGAACAGGCAGGTACCTAAAGTGTTTTCCAGTACCAAAGGCAACCCAAAGTTCAGAAAGTTGAATCTGGTGAAATGCTGCCACTGAGATCACTACAACATCGGTGTCAACTGTGCGTACCATTACCTTAGTGAATCCTTGGTTTGCAACGTCAGCCACATGCAGCAAGAGCCTTGTGTCGGCCTCTTCATGTCCACATGGCGCCAGGTTAGCGATGTCATTTCTTTCATCGTTAAAGAGCATTGATTCGTGTTTGGTAGTTACTACCTATCCATGGACATTTGAGATTGTGATTAGCTGCTCGGCCAGGAAATGGAAAAGCTCCACCTTGTTCTCATCCACTCTCAGAAAAGCAGCCCAGTTTCCAGGAATCTTTGTGTCTGGCTGGACTCGTCGTCGTGAGCCATTTCCTCTTTTTCTTGTTGTGCAATCCTTCAGACTGTTTGAGAGGTATCTGTCCCACACCACATCTACCCTCTTAACACTTTCAAGCTCCCTAGTTACCTATGGTATAAAAACAAACTGACTGTATTCTGCAAACGTCTTGCAAGCTCCGGTGGGCTTAAGCATGTTCACAATGGCTGCCCCATCTAATAATAGAACGTCAACGGAAGGCTTTTCCTCTTTAGCGGGAACACAACCTTTCTAGACAGAATAGCAAATCTGACTTGTTTCCTGAGCTTAGAGTTCCATAATGAGACAAGGAAGGCGGGTAGCTCAGGTTCTCGTGTGTAAAGAAGCTGTCTAAGTCACCTTTTCTAACCTGACATGAGATGTACAGGCGTGAAAACAGGGAGCAGTTGCTCTTTAGTAAAGCTATTTTCATCTTATCCTTGGTTGTCTCTTTAGGAGCCGGAGGACTACTAAATAGCTGTATCTTGTTTCTCTTGATAACATCAAAAAGCGAGATTTTTCGCTCATCAAGCCTGGTTGTGCAAAACTCCTGAAATTGCTTCTGGCCTAGTTCCTCTACAGTTCTAACTGATTTCACCATGTGGCATCCATAATGTCTCGCGTATCTAAGATAAGCAAGTCCCCACTCTGGTCTAAGAAAGGGTTACCCATCTCACTAATTACATTGGAAAGTGATTGGACCTCACTTTGGAAAGTACTTTGAACTCCTCTTGTTTCTTCGTGGTGTCGATGCTTTCTATCATCGGATGTTGATTTTAGTAGTTCCTGGGAAACCTCCAATTCGTTAATGATTCTAGACATTTCTGGCCCTGACACCATCCAACGCATTAATTGAGTTGGGCTCTCTGTAAGGCCAATGGCACCACCACCCGCTTTCACAATCTTATTATTCTGTTCATGGGCGTGGTCAATGGGTAGTGCAGAAAATGACCGGTTTGTCTTGTTCACCACGAAATGGCCTTTCCTGAATTGTGCAGCCAAATTGGGTAGTTTCGTGTCCAGGGACTCCATGTCGCGAATGTGGACGGGCAGCCACCTAGCATAGTTTGTGCGGTCTAATGCAAAAAACCAGGGTGCAAGTCTTTTACATGACTCTTTGTATAGTTCGAAGTTTCCCTCTCGAAGAGACCTTACAAATATTAATATGGTGAGCTCAAAGTGAAGGGTGAGAGACCAGTAGTGGAACTGAGGACTAGCCAGCTCTGCTTGCTTGCGCCACTCCATAAACGGTTTGGGTTCTTCTTCTTCCGAGATGCAATTGCAGTAGTGCTTGTATGCCTTGTCCATCAGTATGTACAAAGCACAAGCAGTAATCTGGTGGGCGTGTCGGGTGCGTGAAACGTGTGACGCCTTGAGAAGGAGTCGGGGATCCAGGAGTTGTTATGCCCGCTTGCACTAGGGCGCTTGTCCAACCACTACCCTCAATCCAGGTCTCCAATGCCTTAAGAGAGGCAAGCTCAGTATGCAGCCCTCCAAACATCATTCTTGGAGAGAATGACGGGCTTAACAAGTGTGTAAGAATCCGGAAGTTGAGAAAGACGCTTTCTCTTGGAGGGCTGATTGTCTATGCTAACTACATCCCGCGCTTCACCTGGTGCATCGTCAGATGGATGTTGGAATAAAGATATACCTGTTCCATGGAAAGCACCTTGGGCGGTTGTAGATGACGGGTTATGGTCAATGTTATCCATGGCAGCTGTTGTAAATTCTCCTTTATTAAGCTTGGGCGGGCAAACAACCCCTTCAGACTCAAACCGCGAACAAACACTATTGCCCAAGTCAGTAGATAATTCTAGCACCCTGTCATACGAAATTGACAGTCCAAGACTATAGAGTTTATCGACCAGTGTTCTCTTTCTTGTTTCTGCGTGAGTCATGAGGCCAAGATATATTGGCAGTGGTGGTTCGCGATCTCGAGAGTGATAATAAGCTGAACCAGTTGCTTCACTACAACGACACCGTATGCTGGTATTAAAAAGCATGAGTTGTGATATACTTAGTGTAGGCTGCGCATCACTCACACGACTAGACAGAGTTTTGATATCTGTTGCCTCTAAGATCAATCCTATTAACGTTTTAAGGGACTGTGGAATTGATTCTTGTTGAGAATCTTCATCAAATGTTCCACTGAACTGCGTTTTCGTGGCTATTATATCTCGACGAATGATCTTGCTTGCTTTAAGTAGGATTATTGCTTCATCATCAAAATCCCTAAAGCGAGTCAGTTCGAGCGCTTTGCCAACATCTTCACTGAATGCCATCACTATGTCTCGGCCTTTCTTGTGCGCCTGCAAGCCTGGAACTTTTGCTAAAATTCTCTCCTTTAGGTCAGTGGAGTGTACTCGACCCGACAAATCGCTACCATAGTGTTTCAGGAAACGGGTGTACATGGCTGTAAGCTTTGCCAGCGTAAACACGGGAATGCTATCCGCGGACTCTGCACGAGTTTCTTCAAGATAAGCGACGAGCTGTGCTAGAGCCATACCCTGGATTACCTTCTCATCACTGCTTGCAGGATTCTGATTTAATCTCTCTGCCTTGTTATAGAGCAACACCAAGCACTTTGCATTATACACGGCTTCCTGACAGATCAAATCGCCGGCACTTAGTTTTGCGATTAGGACCTCATCTTGCAACTGATGTGCACACTCTCGCACCCTTGCATCTACATTAAAAGTGGACGCTTGATGAAGTGTACCTGTGGCACCGGAGCAGAAAAAACAGCTTACTTCTTTAGTCATCGAAGATGCTGCACCAGAGCTTTGTCTAGTAGAACTTGGCAAATCATCTTGAATTTTCCTTTTTTGTGCTCTTTTCAGCTTCATGTCACTAAATTTGTTTCTACACGTTTTATGCCATTTCGCTTTACGCTTCATCAATGTTGCTGGTATGCCAACACCTTCATCCAACTTTTCTATATCTCAAGATATTGGCATAAATCCTAGCTCATTGAATTTGTGAATACTTTCCGCTAGAGAATTATATCCTGTCCCATATTCGATATCTGATCAACGAGAATTCCCCGGACATTGGAGCTGCTCCTTCGTTGTTTCCTGACACAAAATACATTTTTCCCAGTCCAAGGAAACAGTATCTTCGTCTTGTTTGGCCATCGAGGATATGTCAGACCAAAATACAACAACAATAAGTACGCACACCAGAAGAATCATGTTACGTTGGTCTGTATGATCAAAGCAAAGAAACGCTGATCAAGGAAAGGTACTGAGCGACAAAAGGAGTCTTCGAATAACATTTAATTGTACTTATAACTACAATGAAAATAGTTTTATTTCAATTCATTTTAAGATTGAAGTAAACTGAAGCCGAACTGCCACAAGATCATTTCCTGCACGACGTATTTATTGTCTTGTCAAAATTGTTTCGGTTCGCACCTGAAATAAGATTCTGTTAAACAAATTTAGTAGGATATTGTTTTTCTTACCTCCATTCTAGCACTGTAAAAGAAAATATGTTGTAAGGAGCACGAGAATCCTGAAAAATTTGCTTGTTATTCTTAACCAAACGAGAGCTTTGAGAACTGTAAGTTCACTGTGAGGATGGTAACCAGGCTTGCAAGGTAACCACGCCATGCACAGGCTACCCAATGGTAAAATAACGTGATAGGGCTTACAGTGTAAATGATGGTTGTTTACTGTAAACTTGTATTAAAGGGAACCTCCACTCTTACTACAGAATAAGTTTAAATCTGATTGACGATGAGAGTATTGCTAGTAGTTTTAATTCCTATTTTTCATCTGTTTTTACCTCCGAGGACTTCACCAACTTGCCTTCTTTAGAGCCTTTAGTTTGTGAGAAACTTAATTATATTTCCTGTACTACTGAGGAAATTTTAAAGCATCTTAAGTCTCTTAAAACGAACAAGTCCCCGGGTCCAGACAGAATTTCACCAGTAATTTTAAAACCATGTGCGTTCGAATTGGCGCCCTCGATCTCATTTCTGGTTAACAAATCTTTCCTGCTGGGCCATTTGCCCGAAGATTGGAGATCAGCTGACATTGTCCCACTTCATAAGAAAGGTTCTAAACACTTGAGGGAGAATTATCGACCAATTTCGCTTACATCCATGATATGCAAAATCAGCGAAAAAATCGTACGCGATAGGTTAACGTCATTTTGGCAAGACCATAACGTGATAAACAAAAACCAATTTGGTTTTTTGCAGGGTAGGTCTACTGTGACCCAATTACTCTCTACTTTTCATGACTTCGCCAAATCTAGGAATTCATCTGTAGCAACAGATGTTGTATTTCTTGATCTCGCAAAGGCTTTTGATAGTGTTCCTCATGAGCGTCTACTCATAAAGTTATATAGCCTCGGTATTGAGAGCAAACTTCTTAACTGGTTGAGGCATTTCCTCACGTGTAGAAAGCAACGAGTTGTTGTAAGAGGGACTTTTTCTGATTGGGCACCTGTGATATCTGGTACCCCACAGGGAACTATTCTTGGTCCAATTTTATTCCTATCATATATAAATGATATCGTTGATAGTGTCTCTTCAAAAATTAAATTATTTGCGGATGACACTAAGATTTACAGAGAGCTTCGCAACCCTAGTCTCGATGAACAATACCTTCAAACTGATTTGAATAATCTTGGTAAATGGGCGAAAAAATGGCAACTTCGTTTCAATGAGGAAAAGTGTGAAGCAATGCGAATAACGCATTCTCGTGACAAATCGACTAAGAATTATAAACTAGGTACGGCCTTAAAAGATGTCAAGAGCTTTAAAGATCTTGGAATTATTATATCAAAAGATCTTACTTGGAGTGAACATATTAGTACCATGGTGAATAAGGCGAACCAAGTCCTAGGGCTAATAAGACGGTCTGTTGGAACAGCTAATACAACAACTTTTTCATTGCTTTACAAAACATTGGTCAGACCACTTCTAGAGTATGCTGCTCCAGTCTGGAACCCATATCTTGTCAAAGATATTCATGCAATAGAGAGCGTGCAAAGACGCGCGTCAAGATTAGCTCTTAGGCAAAAAAAAGAGGTGATATGTCTTATGAAGAGCGTTGTGACTCGTTACATTGGCCATCTTTGTCCAGTCGTAGGACATATTCCTCTCTTGTTGAATGTTATAAGATCGTGTTTGGCTTATCACACTTGGATTTTGAGGAATTCTTTCAATTCGCAAAAGTCAAATCCACTAGGGCAAATCACTCGTATAAGCTTTATTGTAAATTATCTAGAATCAACTGTTTTAAATATTCTTTTTTTAACAATGTAATTAGTTACTGGAACAATTTACCTAGTAATGTTGTTGAAGCCGGTTCCCTTGAACTTTTTAAATGTAAACTCAAATCCTTTTTAAAGTTGTAATTTTTATTGTAATTTTTATTGTAATTCTTATTGTTTGTTGTTTTTAGGAGAGTTTTATTCATAGGGTTAACCTCTAGACTCTCCCTTTCAAATTCATGTGGTCATTATGAGTTTGAATAAACATGTATGTATGTATGTATGTATGTAAATCGAATAAAATTATGTTGATAAGCAAATTTGTTCGAAATTTGTCTTAAAAAAAGTGTTTATATCAAGAAAAGTGAATTTTAAAATCGCTTATTTTCACTTTCAAATTTCGCGGGCGCCGCCATCTTGAATAATTGTGACGTGTTACGGTTGCTCTATTGTTCTGACACAAAGAGCTTTTGTTTAATAACAATAGGGCAACCATTACACGTCACAATTATTCAAGATGGCGACGCCCGCAAAATTTGAAAACAAAAATAGGCGAATCTAAAAGTTATTTCTTTCGGATACAAACGCTTTCTTTAAAAATATTTTAGATTGACTTGACTGTAACAGTTATTTCCTGTGATTTACAGTTATCTTTTTGTTGAAGTGGAGGTTCCCTTTAAGGATATGTAAACGCTGTTAATATCAATCTTTTGGAGATTTTAACGGTTTCGTCACTTTAAAAAAATTATTAATGCTTGATACTTACAAAGTGAACTTTTTTTTTTTTTTTTGCATTTCCACGTTTAATGTTTTGCCTGCGGTTAGTGTATTACTTTTTCATAACCTAAAATGACCTCGGAAAGGTCAGATCATCGCACCTTTAAATTAAAAATTATGAAAGAAACTAAAATTATGAAAAAAATAAGAAACTAGCAAGACATTTCATGTCATCATACGAAGGCTTTTCAATGTGCTGATCGGATGTAAATTACTTCTTTCCAGCTAAAATAGTCCTCTTTCACCTCATAACTTGCGGCAAAAACCTTTTTGGGCTATCAATTCTCATTTGTGAGCACTTTGCGTCTCATATACAATACCCTAACATGCAATCTTGCAAGTTGAGTCAGCCTCGTTTTCATGCCAATCAACTGGTGGGTGACACTTCTACCTTAAATTATGCAAATTAGGGGGCGGATCCCGGGTGGGTCCATAGCTAAAATTAATCAACTAATGTATCTCTAACTGTGTGCCAAATTTGCAGCTTTTACCATAAATCCCACAATTTACCTAAAATTTTGCATCAATCTGCTGGACTATATTGTAAAATCATCTCAAGAATCGCAGTTTTTTACAAAGTCTAACGAGCGGTTTCAAAATTATCGCTTATTTGCAAAAAAACGCCATCAAAAGCACTTAACCTCAATGAATGCTATAAATCAAATCCCTTTTTCTTGTGATTGGCCTAGGCCCGTTTCAAACGACGTGCCACTGCCGTGCCGAACTAAATTAATCGAATTAAATTCGACTTTAGCACGGCAGTATGGCGCGACGTTTGAAAGCAAGTCGTGCTACTTGCAAGGCAGTAGCTCGACTCGTTTTCAAACGTCGCACTACTTCCGTGCCGAACTCAATTGATAAATTAAAAATAGATAAGAATACATTTAAAAGTTTGCTAAACCGTTTCTTTATTTTTGCGTTTTGTTTTCGGTAACAGCCGTTCTATTCCACTGACTTAAATTCAACGTCTGAAACCAAGTCGCGCTAGTGTGGTGCTGCAGTCGAGCTGCAGTCGAGCCAGGTTAGCACGGCAGTAGCACGACGTTTGAAACAGGCTTTAGGATATCCCCATGGCCAGAAATCGAATACAACATGGCGGACGATCATGCGCGCTGCGGGCAATTTTGCGGACTTTAAATATGGCGACGGTACATAGCTTTATATGAGAAATATACAAAATGTTGACTTATCCTGGTTAACAAGATGGATAGTAAAAGTGTGCACGTCTAAATCGTAAAAAAGAACCACGATTTTCAAGAGAAAGAAACTTCTTTGAGATAAAATTACATACGAACCGAACGTCAAGATTATCCAGTTTTTTCGCTGAATTTTTAACCATAAAAACTTCGTCCTAAAATATCTCAGTAGTATAGGGCGCACCGGTTAATCCCCCTTTTATGGGCAGGAATCTCATTAGCTTGCGCAGGAATAAATTAACGCCGATGACGTCCTAACTTTTTGTCTTTATCTCATGAATAAAAGACGCAGGGATACCATTAAGATAAGGTCATGTGCTATTTTTAGTTGGTTTAGGATTTCTAGTCACTCTAAGGTCGATAAACGTCTTCGTTTTCGATTGGTTAGTTAGAAAATAAGAAACGTTTTTATTGGTTAATTCATACTGTCTGAGGAGTAAAGTCAAACTTGTCTGTGACTTAAAATCACGGAGGCGTAATGTCATTACGCAAGTCCTATTTCCTGCTGCTATGATTGTCCTAGTTCCGGTTCACTGACTTTTGGCGGGCAAATCGTGCATATTAATGAGGGCAAAGACAAACTAGCTCTTTTTAGCACGAAATACAATGTTTTACTTACCCCTCTCCCTTTCCAATTTTATTGCCCTCCTCAATTTTTTTATTCCCTTCTCCACAATTTTATTATTTTCCCTCCTCAATGTTTTTATTCCTCTCCTCCACAATTTTTATTATTTTCCCTCCTCAATGTTTTTTTATTCCTCTCCTCCACCTCCACCTCCTCGTTTTTATTGTTTTCCCTCCTCCTCCTCATTTGTATTGTTTTTCCTCCTCCTCCTCCTCCTCCTCATTTCTATTGTTTTTCCCTCCTCCTACTCCCCCTCCTCCTCCTCATTTTCATTGTTTCTCCTCCTCCTCCTCCTCCTCCTCCTCCTCCACCACCACCACCACCTCCTCCTCATTTCTATTGTTTTCCCTCGAAAAGACCAAAAGGCCAAAATCAGACAATCACATTTGAGTTTGGCCTTAAAGGCCTGATTTTGGACTTTTGGTCTTTTCGAGGGAAAACTATAGAAATGAGGAGGAGGTGGTGGTGCTGGTGGTGGTAGAGGAGGAGGATGAGGAGGAGGAGGAGGAGGGAAAACAATAGAAATGAGGAGAAGGAGGAGGAGGAGGGAAAAACAATAGAAATGAGGAGGAGTAGGAGGAGGAAAAACAATGCAAATGAGGAGGAGGAGGTGGAGGTGGAGGTGGAGGAGAGGAATAAAAAAGCATTGAGGAGGGAAAATAATAAAAATTGTGGAGGAGAGGAATAAAAACATTGAGGAGGGAAAATGATAAAATTGTGGAGAAGGGAATAAAAAAATTGAGAAGGGCAATAAAATTGGAAAGGGAGAGGGGTAAGTAAAACATTGTATTTCGTGCTAAAAAGAGCTAGTTTGTCTTTGCCCTCATTAATATGCACGATTTGCCCGCCAAAAGTCAGTGAACCGGAACTAGGACAGTCACAGCAGCAGGAAATAGGACTTGCATAATTACATTACGCCTCCGTGATTTTAAGTCACAGACAAGTTTGACTTTACTCCTCAGACAGTATGAATTAACCAATAAAAACGTTTCTTATTTTCTAACTAACCAATAAAAAACGAAGACGTTTATCGACCTTAAAGTGACTAGAAATCCTAAACCAACTAAAAATAGCACATGACCTTATCTTAATGGCATCCCTGCGTATTTTATTCATGAGATAAAGACAAAAAGTTATGACGTCATCGGCGTTAATTTATTCCTGCGCACGCTAATGAGATTCCTGCGCAAAAAAGGGGACTAACCGGTGCGCCCTATACTACTTATCTCAATAACGCCCCGGATTCCACTCTAACGTCAAGAACATCGAGGCAGTATTGGGCGAAAAGCTCCCGTGATCGATTTTGAAAAAGACAACCTCCCAGATAATACGGCTGCAAGAAGAATTGGTCATGACGTCATTTCGTTGCTCAAAACAAATTTTCATCTTTAGTCATTTTTCCAAATCTCTGTTAGGAATTGTCCCTGAAAAACCCCATCGAGCCACCTTAAAATATTATGGTGAAAACCTATTTAGCGTTTGGTGAGGGAAGTATGATTTGGGAGTGGATGCAGGAATTTCCAAAATTGTTCTCGCTGCTGAGACTATTTTACAACTAATCATTTCTACCCTCTCTGTCGTATTTTCTTTTTCTGCCTCGGTGGATAACACCCTCCTCGATCAGCTTAATTCTTCATATCCTATTCAGCCTCATTCATTTATTGCTAATTAAATCTGACTGAAAAATTCTTAAGACATTTAATAGGGGTATTTTGCAAAACGCCAAATGACTCTGGGCTCAGTTCCTCGAAAGATAGTGAAGTTTAAGTCGTTTAACTCAGAGTATAGCAAGTAGGTTGAGTTTTCTTGTCTAGGAACAAGTAAGTACCGTATTTCCTCGAATAAACGCCTGGTGGCTTATTTAAAATTTCGGCTAAAAAGGTGGGCGTTTATTTGAAGGAGGGCGCTTACTAAGTTCTAATGTTGATAATCAAGCGTATCTTAGTCCCGTGTGTACAGTTAACACGCCGAGGTATCAATAAAGTAGCAATAAAAACAGGTTTCTTTGTATCCCCACATTAAAGGAAAGTGAGGGGGGAGGGGAAGTGGGCGCTTATTCGAGGGGGTGCTTGTCTGACATTTTGTCCTAGGGTTGGGCGCTTATTAGGGAGAGGGTGCATAAAAGAGCGTGGGTGCGTATTTGAGGAAATACGAGCACTGCAGTTTATAATATCTTGAGCCTTTCCTCAATATTCATTTAAGTACAAAATTTTTAATACATCAGCTTACACCTTCTAAAGCAAAAACATTGCTGAGGGAGTAATAAAAACGACTCGAAGCAATCGTCTGAAATTCAGGCTACTTGGCTTAAAACTTTGCAGAATATGGTCAGCTCCAATCCTGCATGAACTATTTTAAATACATGGTTTTCCGGTTCGTTCCATATTAAATACATAAATTTCTCATGCAAGCCAAAACAAGGAGTCCCTTTAAGACACATGACTATCTTTCTCGTTTCATTTTATACTGACTACAAATCACTAACGGTATTAAATTAATTTAAAGAAACACGAGCTGTGCCCAAAATTCCCCGACTCGGCTACATGCTTCGCGGAAGCTATTTCTAAAGTTTACTACTCAAAAGGATTCAGCTTGCGGAGGATTAAATCAGATTCAGTACATTTTCCCTAGGAATATCTCCACGAACCCAAGTACGTTATCATAACTTTTTTGAAACGCTTACGAACCCTATTATTTCCTCACAGCTGTGAGGAAAACGTAGTAAAAAGGGACATTTTAGAGCGACAGAGAAAATAAATGCTAATGCCTCCTTGACTGAAAATCTTTGTAGTGATATTAGTAAAATGCCATTAGCCTAAGTAATTGGAAACTCAAGTAACAACATATACAAAGCTTTTTGCTAAAAGCTCTCGAGCGACCGCCCTCGCTTTTTAAAAAGAGCCTATCTCGTAAACAACCAGCTCTAGTTAAGAACACTTAAAATTCCCAAGGTGTCGCTTACGAGAGCCTTGACTTTATAAACAAACTATAATCGTAATAAAAATTTAAAAGAATGAAGTCAGTATATAATTCATATAGAAGACACAGGTTGGCTCCTGATATGCGCCACATTGCACTGATGCGATTGCCAAAGGAGTTAGTCTTTTTCTGTAGTAAATAAACTAAAACAGTAGTGTCTTTTGGTATTGGAAGAAGGGAGCTGGGCGGCCCCGTTTCTCGAAAGTCCCGGTAACTTTTCGGGCCCGAAATCAAATATTCAAATCGAAATGTAGAGAATAAGAGCGAGGGTCCTGGCTAGCAAACTACTCCATTTTGTTTCGTTAACTGACAGTTTTACCATGTTAGATGCAAAACTATTGAAACCTCTATCTTGTATGTAAACGATAACAGCTTTACGAGCTCGTTAATTATCGGGACTTTGAAGAAACGAGCCCCTGCTTGCCTTATGGCCGCTGGCTAATAGTTCTTCTTCTAATAGTAGTAGTAGTAGTATAGCTTAGCTTGTTAGTTGTCTCCATTAAACTGGCTTTTCAGCCAACTTTACAAGTGTAAACCGATAAAAACATAATATTCAATCTACTTTAAAATACTAAGAACTTTATGAAAAATAAAAAGAAGGCTTCTACGAACAGCTTTTTCACTTCAGCCTCAGACTGCATGAGGTTCTTTATACTATGCTAGATTCTGAAAGGTTATTCCCGAGGTGGACTGCTCGCGATAAAAATGATCGCTTACCAGCAGCAGAACTAAATTAAAGAGAGGCATGTCTAACGTTTACTTGTTCCTAGTATTAGGAGAAAGTACATGGCCCCTTTCCTTAAACCTATTACAGGGATGGGGCGGGAAAGTCGTTTAACACAGTTAAAAATCAATATAATGTCCCTGATTCCTAAAAGCTGCGCGACTGGCAAGCCAAGAAGCTGCTTTAAAGATGGTGTGATGTGATCCGCGGATGTTCTTACTCCAGTCGCAATCCGAGCTGCAAAGTTCTGCACTACCAGAGCGCGCTGAACGTTCCTATTTGTAGTGTTTGCCGAAACGGAGGAGGCCGAGTGCAAAATCTTGCCGAATAGGAGTGTATCAGAAATTCGTAAGGGGTTAAAAAGTGTAACTTGCGTTCAATGCCAATATCTGAGATAGAGTCTCTTCTTTTTTTGTCATAAGCCATGGTTGGTCTCAGGTTGTGCGAACATGCACCATCTTTTTAAGGGTCACTTAAAGATATTAGAATGGAGTGTTCTGCAAAATTTCTTTCTAATACCCTAAAAAAAACTATAAGAAATCGATAAATAAATGGAAAATAAACAAGCCAGTGATTCTGAAAAACATCAGTGTCATGTAATTATTTTGTAATTATGTATCCGAAATTGTAAAACGAATTTAGATAAAGCTGAAAACAGTTATAAGCATATCAAGGAAAACTCAAGTTATATTTAGAATACTCTCTGGCACCAAGCCCACTGAAGGCTCATTTTTTTCTCATTCTTTTACGACAAATAAACTGAAAACAGTGACAACTCAGGAATCAAATATAAACTTGTCAGCCAATCATATTTGCGCAGGACTTTTGTTTGTTAATTCCTTTCCTAACACGAAAACCGTGTCTAACATGGAAAAGACCGCTTCCGAAAGTGTTTCTCATGCTTATCCTGACAGCCTTTGCCATTTACAACTATTAGGTCCTCCTATATTCAGCTAATCTAGCGAAACATGATTACATCAAATTTAAAATGGACGGGTTGTTACCACACTCTCTGTGTCAAAACAGTCAGAAACGATTTGAGAGCAGATTCACGTAGTGATGATGGGAAGGAAGTTAGGAAGTTAGGAAGTTAAGTTCTTTTTTTTCCGTGGCTTCACCGCAAACTCAAGGCGCGATCCAGCGACCCAATGTGTGAACTGAATTTCTCGACCTCGAGGAAACTAAGAATCCGTTTCGAAGACTGGATGGTGCTAGGCGTCTAAACTCTTTCCCCCTGAAATGTCATGTTTTTAAGGTTGCACCACCATAAAAGTTCGGGTTCCGTATCTACACGCAAAGATGAGTTGAATATTTGGACTTGAAAATCTCACGGCAGAGCTTGCATATAGCCAGCAAAACTTTAGTCCGTAGAATCGACGAATGGCAATCACGGTCTCGTTTATCTGCGTCACTAAATTAATATCACCTCCCGAGGTGATTTAATCTCACTCTACAGTGATACGCACTTTATACTAGAGGTCTCATATTGGACGTGAAGTGCGGCCCCATGTAGAAAGATCAAGGGGTTGGAACGGTAGTAAATAATATATGGTATCTCAGTTTAGGATATCACATGGTCTTCAAGGTTCTAGGATTAAAATTGTTGTCTCCCTCGCAACCGTTTTTGTCTCTAGCGTTGCGTGACGAGACAAAAGGGAGACAATGATGTATAAAATGAGAGATCCCGAGAAAATAAATGTCAAATGTCAAACTAATTATATCTATGGCCCTTGAAAAATGTATAAAAGAATGCGATATTGTTTGAATTATTCTGGTAAAAGTATTTTGTCCACTGAAAATTTAAATTACATGTACTCAATTTCCTGTTGGATTCCGTCTTAAACTTTTGGGTGCATGCATAGCAGTCCGGCCTCTCTCAATGTTCTACAAAGTATAGTTTCTTACTAGCTTTCATACTGACTTCAGTTATGCGAGTGTTCATATAGCTTTCTATGTAACTGTTGTTGCTTATCGTAAGTCCAAGTAGCTTGGTACTATTGTTTGACTACCAGTAGCTATTTTCTATCTGGCATCGATAGCCAGGTCCATGCGTTCAGATTGTGGGGGACGGCGCAATATTTCATCCACGACCACTAGATCAAGGGACTCTGGAAAGAAGGCACTACCACTACTCACTAGGCGCTAACAAGCACGAAGTCTTTGGACCAAGTGCAGAGTTGATCCACTCTGGATATTGTAGTCACTCAGACTGTGATCGTCTTCCAGTCTCTTGCCCGCAAATACAAGACGTTGTGAGTCTGGTGGGCACAGGCATAACTGGTGGATAACCGCCTTCACAGTCCTGATGTAATCGCTTGGGTTCACTATTATTGTCATCATTCTTCCATCCATCAGCTTAACAAAGATTTCCATGTCAGATGGTGGAGCGTTAATACTGCTTTCTAGTGCAGAACTGCTCTCTGACAAATGCTCTTGGCTCAAACCTAGGAAAGTTATATTCGAAATTCCATTTAATGCACGGCTTTTGTATCTTGCGGCCTGGTAGAATACGTGAGGTCGACGTAGGTCGCAGAATTTAGCTGTTGCAATCACATCTTCGTTTCAACAAAGAAAAAATAAGACAAGTCCCAATTTACAAGAAAAATTTCAAAATGCCGCCAATAATTATGACTCGCCGTGCTCTAACTTGCTTCAGGTGGTACCAAGTACTTAAACGAGTTCTTAAAATCTCCAAGAACGTCGGAGTTTTGAGGGCAGACTTATTATACCAAATTGCAAAATAATAGCCTAAAAGCGGAGCTCCAGAAACTGTCAGTCCTACCCTGAGATCGGGGCTCAACAAAAAATGACAAATATTAAACTTACCAACACATTGTACGTGCGATGATCTGTCATACGCCAGAAAATCTTTGCTGTCATGAACAACTGCTTCAGACCCCCATTTGTACACAAGACGTAGACTTAACACTGCAGCTTCCTTAGAAGTTACGTTACTTCGCATCGACAGAGGACACTGCGTGACTTCCCAGCTAAACAAGTTTTCTCTTAATTCCTTTCGCAGTACGTCTAGTACCGGTGAGAGCTTCTCTTTTTGTGTGCTGCAGAAGACAACACGAAGATTTCCTGAGCCTATATCTTTCAGCTTCGCTACTGTAAGATCATGGAAACGGTTGATGTGTCTGTTGATAACTTGCTCGCAGGAAGGCATTAGGGTGATCGTTGCCTGGAATGTCCCTTTTCCTTTCTTCACAATTTCTCCGTCGATGTATACACTTGCTGCTGCATGGAGCCGAAGCTCGTCTCCTTCGTTCTTGATACGAAACACCTGAGAGTATGTGTTTTCCAGTTTGTCGTGCTTTATGGTCTCACGGAGACAGGTACAAGGAACACAAGTAGGGAAGACACTTAGCTCAAATCTCACCACTTTTGACGGGTCAAATTTTGCAAAATGAATTAGACTCATTAAAACATTACACGAGGAGTGCACCAAAACGTCATCAACGTAATCACGATCAGCAATGATTTCTCTTAGGCAGCAGGAAAACAGCTCTAGTCTCTTATACAATCTAATGTCCTGACCAGAGTGTTGGAAAAACGGCTTTAGATAGTTAAGCATGGATAACATTGCCAAACTTTCGCCCCACTTTTCAATTTCTGTGTTTGGCTCCTTGTCGTAGTTTTCCATGCATAGTCGTTGGAGAATGTTGCAAGAATCACGCAAAAGCTCAAAAACTCCGTTGTTTCCTTCCGCCGTCCGTACACTGGACACAAACGTATCTAGTGTTTCCTTAGTCAGTCCTCTCAGACCGTTTTGAGGAACTTCTGACATGCTCTGGTCAACAAAGATATCTTTTATGTTCTGAATAAGGTAAGGGACAATAATTAGGAAGGTTTTGATGGTAGATTCTTCAGACAACGAACAAACCTCTTGGTACCGTTTCTTCATTTCTTGAGGAAGTGGACAGTGATTATCGATGGATTGGATGAGATATTGTGCGTGATTTGTCGACGAGGCTGCTCTTTCCACGTTATCTGCAGATACTTCCAATTCAATGCAACAGTCCCTGAACACGGATTTGCAAAGATTTTGAATTTTGCGACTGAAATAGTTCTGTGAATCATCATGCATGTATTGTAAGCCCAAGATCTTGGTTGCAACTTTCCTTAACTGCCTGATATGCATCTGTCCTCTTTGTGTTACTCTGTAAGCTAATGACAACAACGAAAAATATTCAGTGGAGAATGGCCGTTTTTATACTACGGACGCATTATCCGTCTGGACAAAATAGGGCAAACATTTTGTAGTTCGTCTGGTTATGCGTCTGTAGTATAAAGACGGGAACAAGACGCATTATGCGTCCAGACGAACTACCTTTCGTGATGCGTCGCTCAAGGCGTATTTCGAAGGAAAGTTCGTCCAGGCGCATAACGCGTCTTGTGCCGTCTTTATACTTCATACGCATAACCAGACGAACCAAAAATGTTTGCCCAAGTTCGTCCAGATGGATAATGCGTCCTTAGTATAAAAACGGCCATAGACGCGTTACCGGTCAAGACGGATAATGCGTGCTCTAGTATAAAAACGGCCCAGAAGGCAATGAACTCAAAGCTAGAGCTGTCACTTAAGGCCTGTTTACAAGGAGAGAGGGTTATCCTTGTGCTATGGTTACCCTAGCAAGCGGGTTTAAGTTAGCTCTGGTTTACAAGCAACACCCAGGTCAACTTTACCAGCTTTACTGACGTGTTTCGTCGTGCGTGACATGCTTTGTAACATCCAAGAATTTCAATAAAACTTGAAGTTCTCAATGGAAGACACGTTAAAGTCACGAAAAAACAGGAAAATATCATCATCGTATACAGAAAATACCTTATATTGTTCAGATGTTTACAATTTAGCTCAGAAATTGAAAAATTCCGTTCAAATTGTCACGATTACTGATCACACATGACGGAGGAAAGTTGTCCCGGGTAGGCGAGTTATCCCTAGCAGAGCGTTCACAAGGCAAGTAGGGTAACCCTCTTGCAAGGGAACCCTAGCACTCAGGTAGGGTTACGCTAGCGCTAGGGTAACCCTACCTGCCTTGTAAACACGTCGTGTAAAAAAAGAAGAAATGTCAGAGTGCTAGGAAAACCATCTTGCTAGGGTAACCCTAGCACCAGGGTTACCCTCCCTCCTTGTAAACAGGGCCTTAGCCTGGATATACTCCCAACATTTACTTCAATAACCTCAATTTGCCAAAGTTTAATGAATAACAAGGGAAACTCTATTTAACCAAAATAAACTGGCTGTTTAAACTTTTGACTACTTTTATTGACACGTAACAGTATTTCTGTGAATATGACCTCAGTATTCTTGTGCTGCCTTGCACTATTCGGTCTGTTATTCGTTGTTAGTTTTTAGCGAAATGTCGTTACGTTTTCACTAATTTTTCGCAAAAATTTCTTCAAATAGCGTTTCCAAACACTGCTTTACCACCTAATTTCTGGTTACCCCTCAACAACTCAGGTATATTTCTTCTAAAATCGGCCGGATATCCGTAGCTTTCGCACCTTTGTCAAACGAAAACAAACAAACAAAAGGGAACCCTGGGACAACTAACCTTCTTGTTTTAACCTCTCTAGGTCTTTTCTGAGAGCGGCAAGATCTTTCACCACGTTATTCGTTTGCGACCAATGCTGCAAAATGATTTCCAGTTGTTCGTTCTCGTCCTTCTGAGATTTTGTCAGGCGATTTATGCATTCTTCAGGCATCCCAAGCAACTTTGCAATTGGAACAACGTTAAAAATGGCACCCTCTACATCTAACAGGCTCTTTACATAACCACACAGTTCTGTTGAGAAAATACATGGTTATGAGATTAGAAATGCGCTTCAAATTTTCACTCAATAGTTGCTAACATAGACCTCTTTTTACTGTCATAGCAAGACACATTTTGGACAATAAGGTTACACAGACCACGTTGAAGGGCATTTCCTACGGTAAGGTGAATTAAATTCTCCTAATTGCGGAGATACTTGCTCTTGATATGACTTATCTTGTTACGATGAAAAAGTATACGTATAGATAAGGTAGAATTTCAACTAGTTTGTTAGTTCAAACAACCTAGCAAAGGTATGGTCTAAATTATTTCTTAACTTTGATTTCAATTTACAGTTTGGTTGGACCCCATTTCGAGTTTCGAATCAAATAGGTGCTCTTTTTAACTAAACACAGTAGTACAATAGGAATGTTTTAGGCCTCTTTGTTGACGTGGAATCTCGTTAACTTGCGCTACCATATCACCCTCGTTCCCGGGGTTCTCTCCGACGGGTAGAAGAGTGAACATGGGAAAATGTTTGCTACCATATATCAATGTCGATACGGCCATAGCCTTTTATTTTTACCTCATGAATAAATTGCGGGGAAACCTCATTTGGATAAGGTGACGCGCTATTGGTAGGTGGTTTAACCCACTAGACAGGGAGCACTTACCAATTGTATGGAAAACACGGAAATTCCGGGGAGAATTCAAATGGAACGGTTCATCCCGGAGGAAATTTTCCAAAACAAAGGTAATACCTTTCGAGGGCTTACTTTTTTCCCGTTTTTACCGAAACGACCGAAATTTTCTGTACCATTTTTCTGGATTACTAGTGCCAGGCTTCATGACGAGAGAGAGCGAAAAATTTACCGGTATTTTGTAAATGGTACAACTCAATCCCGTTCCTGTTTCCGGTGCCCAAAAAAATACCAGTACCATTTGACAGAAATTTTCACCGAAATTTCGTACAAATGGTAAGCGCTCCTCTTTACAAGTTATTTTTTTTTTTGGTTAATTTCTTGCTTTTTGATTGGTTGACGAAAAACCCAAGAAAAGTACTCATTGTATGATACGTCTTGTCGAAGGAATAAGCGCTAAGTCGCCTATGACTTTAAATCACTGAGTCGTAACGTATTTATGTAAGGTCTATTTCCTGCCTCTTTTATTGTCCAACAAATTGTTTAAGTTCCAGTTCACTGATTCGTGGCACGCAAATCGTGTATAACAATGAGTGCGAAGGCAAACTAGCTCTTTCTAGCACCAAACAATCTTTTTACTTACCGCAACCCCTTTTTTCTCCCCTATAATTCAGTGATTTCACCCGTCTTTCACCACCACTGGAGTGGTCAATTGTTTTAACCCACCAAACGCACCACCACATATCCGTTGTTTTCACTCCATCAACACCACATTTTTCTTGTTTTCCCACCACATTTCTATTATTTTTCGTCCACCACCACCACATTTCTTTCGTTTTTTCCTCTACCATCACCACAACCACATTTCCGTTTTTTCCCACCACGTCCACCACCACAAAACAAACAGCGAGGTGGAAATACTATGAAATTATTAGCCTGTGTACAGATGCGCCCTCTATAAAAAAAAAAGCATCAGCAGGTTTGGATCACTCAATCAATTGGTATCTAAACCCTTAAAGTAAATTATCATGTTCATTAGCTGAGACTATCCAATTTACCTCTTTCGCTGAAATGACTCTCATTTGCATGTCCATACTCTCCTCGTACACTGACCTTCCCACACAGAATTCTGACATCTTTATTCCATTCAAGAGGAATTCTCAAAACCTTTCCTTCATGCCACCAATCATAAGAATGGACGATGAAACTTGTACTTTCTTGCTGACTGTCGGCTATTTTGTAGTCTTCTCCAACTCGAACATAAATTTGAAGTGTTTCATTATTGTATATGCTCTTTTGTTCTTCCTGACCAGAGCGTACATGCAGCTCTATGAACCCTTCTTTCTTTAATTTCATCAAAGCAGAAGACGTCTCGTCTTCTCTGTAGAATTGCTCTTGGTAGATGTCTTGGCTGACAAACAATAAGGCAAGTTCGTCATACACTGAAGAGGGATTGCCCTTCTTGACCAAAACTGACAAAGTGTAGTTAAATGATAGAAGGTTGAGCCTTGATACAATGTCTTTGGTGCGAAGCAGAGTTGATCTGCTCAATCTGTACAGAATTGCAACGATTGAAAAGTGCTCAATGACAATAGCTGCTTCAGTATTCGCTTCGTTGATCTTCGACTTGAGAGTGATGTCTTGCCAGGTGATCTTTTCGCCACTAGTCTTTGAGCCGTGCAAGATGAGAACGTCATCCCGATTAAAATTCATGTTTAACTTGCTTGTCAACGTCAAAGGCTTATTAAAAAATGTACCACTGGGTTCGAGCTTGATGATGGGAGCGCCAAACATGACATCGTTCTCAAGATCCTTGAGAACCAGCTGTCCATAGAACTTGGACGGATCTTCTAATGTTATGTACACAGACAAGGAATAATTATGGTGGACAGCTCCCAGCGGGAAAGTTAGTTTGACACTTTCGCCAACCACTGCTCCACCTTTACTGGTTATAGTGCTGTGTAAAACACCTGTGTCTTTCCTCAGTGAACTATCCTTTATGATCAATGGCAGGAAACCTTATTAGGAAATAGTGACAAACAAACAAATTACACATGAATAGGATGGATTAATGTTATTGAATATAATATGGTCTGACATGGCGAACTGCGTAGTTACACTGGCCGTTTTCACACCAGAGACGGATGATACATCTTCACCATCCGTCAAGATTGACAGATAAAAACATGGATAAAGTCAGGTAGATTGTTCATCCAATATTAAGACCGTTCCATTTTGAAATTAAGAGTGTGTCCATGAGAGAACCAGGCAGGCAGTGATAATGCTCAAATCACGGAATTCGCTCAAACTTGGCACAATTGATGGGTGTGGTGAGATATTAACCTCGACAGAAAATAAGGTCGCAATATTGAATTCCCTGGGATTTACAGGGACCCCCCCTAAAAACGACAAAATCTACTCATTTTTGCATAATTAATTAGCTAACTTTGGTTTGGCTGTTCAACAAGAAGAAAAGACAACTTCAAATCTAATCAACTTTATCATCTTCTATGTTTATCAGACTTAATGCTCAGTAATTTATTTTTACTCTCTAATTCCATATCTTCCTATTATTTAGCCTAAAGTAAAGACATCTTCTAACTGTTTTGACCAAACCCTAAATTTAAGGTATTTTAGTGGCTAACATCTCCCATGAGCAACAACCTATGTACTTAATTCTCACATATTCTTTGAAAGACATCTTTAAGGTTATCAAATCAATCATAAAATATTTGGGCAATCTCATACTTTATCAATAATGACGTATTATGTACATCTGACTTGACTCTTTTTTGTCATTTGACCAAAATACGAGGAAACGTAACATTCGTTTTTCTAAACAAAAATAGCACAAAGTTGGCGAGAAGTCACAAATCAGATGCCTCATTGTCGATACTAATAGCGGAATTGTTAGAAAGTGTCACCTGAGGCATGTTTTCTGTGTTATTTATGGACGTTTGGATGGATATTTTATGGAACGCTTGAGTAAACACAAGGAGCAAAAGATTTAGTTCAAAACCTCGATCGGTCCAACTTGTAGGTGAAACAAGACCCAACAAGGATAAAAGATAGTGAATAAATGTTACATACACGTCTCTCAGATGCTTTAGTTCAGATTTGCTGCTCCAGTTTCGTCTGGTCCTCTGTGGCGTTACTTCGTGACGAGGTAATGAAATCGAAACATCTTGAAACATTGCAAAATTAAAAGTGTCGGCTTTTCACCGAACATTCGAAGTCTTTGAAATAAGTTGTAGTCAGAATGAACAAAATCATTCTCAAAGGACAAGAAAGATCACTGACAATCCGTCTATATCTACGGAAAACAACCACCTGCTCGAACACCCTCCATCTTTGACTTTGGACTCTGCCAAAACGATGGAATCTGTGACGCCGGACTACCGGACTCCGGAATGCGGAATACGCTACCTATTGTTTGTACGCGCCAATATCCTGTTATAACTGGTGTGTTGAAAATAGGTTGCGAAAGTCGTGTTACTTGAAATTTTGAGTTTATTCGGTGTTGACATTAATTACCGTGATAATAATCGTCCATAATAGCCCTTTTCGTAGTCAGACCGTGCCGTGCAATTTTTAGACAATTAATGACTTGCCATTGGGTATACTGACTTACTTACTTGTATTTTAATCCTCGTAGTCTTACAACTATACAGGTTGGTATCTGTATCTGGGTATATTATTGACTACAAAAATATAATAATAACCGTTTATAAAAGTGTTGAGGAAAAACTTCTGAGGAATACAAAAGACCCAAAAGGAGGCACTAACACACTGCAAAAAAAGTCGACAAGACTTCTTTAGCTATTCAAGGAAGGTGTAAAAGAACAGTTTCTTGAACACAGACTAATACACTATATTAACTTCTCATTTAAGCTGTCATTTGCGGATTCATACAGTGGATTAAGTTCTCTTAACGGACACTCTCGTATATAGCGAATAGCTCTACTTACGACCGCCATCACAAAATCCCGTTTCAACTTCCACACAAACTCTGGATTTTTACATTCCCGTAGGCGGCCGCGGACACTTAAAGGGTTTACCGGTGAATTAGATGTTAGCTTTGATTTAAAGCTCTCGTAAGCAGACACTCGAAAGAAAATCTTATCCACCTCTTAATGTTGTTGTTGTTTTTTTTTTTCATATCATGTCCACAGTCATTGCTGTTTGTCACTGTTATGAATCATTCTTATATATCCGTTTCAGAGTTACCGTATGAGATTCATTGTTGTAAGCGGTCAGCTCAAGTCAAGTCAAGTCAAGTCAATCTTTATTTAAACACGGTAAAATCCATCAGGAATTTAAAAAATTAAAAATAACCTAACTATCCTAAACAAAATTCAAAACCTGACTACAACTAATCTAACTAAAACCTGTTTTTCATGAATGCCGTGTATAACATTAAAAATGAACATTAACTAATCTTTTAAATTGACTAAGAGATTCGGCTTCTCTCACATGACAGGGTAGGCTGTTCCAGAGAACTGCTCCGCTATAAGTAAAGCTGTTTTTCATGAAATTAGTTCGCGGAAATGGGACAAATAGTTTGTTAACAGAGTCCCTCAGGGAGTAACGCGTTTCATTTCGTTTAACAAACTTAGATGATAAATATTCAGGAACAAGGCCATTTAAAGACTTGTATACCATTATGGATTTCTGTATTTGAAATTGAGTGCTCAAGTCTTTCCAATCGAGTTGTCTAATCAAACGGTTAGCATCAGCATCATAGCTAGAGAAGGTTAAAACGCGAGCGGCACGGTTCTGAAGCTTCTGTAGCCTGTCAAATAATGTTTTACCACAATTACCCCAGACAAGATTGCAATAATCGAAATGAGATTGAATTAGTGAGTTGTATATATAGTGAAGGGTAGGTGGAGGGACAAAAGGTCTAATTCTTTTTATTGCTCCAATTCCGGAAGCGACCTTTTTAGATAATTTATCAATGTGTGTTTGCCACCGTAGATTTTCATCAATAAATATTCCAAGCGATTTGACAGAGGAAACGTGTTCTATCGGAACATTATTAAGCTCCAGTTAAGGACGCCTTTTTCTCTTCCCGAGGGTGTCCTCTTACGAGAGCTTCCACTGTATTACAATTTGGGAAGGGTGTTAAACATATGGAAGCGGTTGTTTGAGAAAAATATCTAACTCAATGTGAAAGTGTGGTGTATTTTGAGTTCTACTTGGGAACATTACTGCCACAGTTAGGCTTTATAAGACCCGCAAACGACAGTGCTAGATAAAAAATTCAGTGTTTATGACAGTCAAATCTGGTGCCAGCAGGGTAGGGCATTTGTACGCAATTTGGCCACTCCCCTGGGGAGAAGGGACTCCAGTATGAAAAAAAAATGGTATTCTTGTCGCAAGCCAAATTGGACGTGTCTCACGCTTTATTTGTCTCTTTGAACTGGTCTGCACGAAGATCCGACTTCACTTCGCTGCTATTTCACGTGCGACTAAAATACAATAAATAGTTCTTTCCAAAACACTAAGACAAAGCGACTTCTATCTTCGAGTTTGAGAAGACATGGGATCATTTATTATCATGGTCTGAATAAAGTTGCCAATAGATTTGGAATTCTAAATTATTTATTAGCATACAATAACAATAAAATAATCTCAAAGAATGTCGGAAAGTCATATTTTCGACTGAATTTTGTTCACTGGACTCTCGCTCCTGGATCCTGGCTCCTGGCTCCTGACTCCCGATACGATGTTTCCGTATGGTGGTAACCGCTGCTTAAAAATGCGGGCTCCAGTTAATGTCAAAGATGGCGGACGTTTGTAACATGTGAATTGAGCTACAACAGTGGCAGAAATAATTCTTTCAATGGGTTAAAAATCGGCTTTCTACTTTTCGTATTGTTTTCTCCTAAAACAACTTGATTTGGATTTTGGTGCGTAAACTGATGGCTAAGGAATTTTAGTCGTACAGCGAGTCACGGCGCTGAACTACGCTTAACTGGACATCGAAGGTGGCATGGGTAACAAATCAAAGCGTGCACAAACTAGCAGTTGAAACATCTAAGAGATACGTATATGGATTTTATTGACCGTTTATATTGTTTTTAGGGCGAAATTGTTAACGTAAGTAAAACTGTGAATTAAATCTTTGTATGTTGTTTTTAGTTGAAAAGATCGCTTATATAGCTATCAAAAATCATCGTTAGGGTTTCTTGCACAACAATTTCAACGATTTCACCCTTATTAATGTTAAATCATTGTCTGATGAGTTTTTTTGTTTGATTTCTCCTCATTCAAAGGCAAACACACGAATATTGTGAGGGCCTGAATTTTGATGAAATATGCAAAAGTCGTTCAGTCACATGAACAGTTTATGTCAACACATGGAAGAAAGCGAATTGCCCAAACTTTTTATGATCTTTTTCTCAACTTAAGTGATGGCTTTAACTACTCATGCAAAAGTTATAAAGATAAGCTGTTGCTCATCAGAGATATTTGGGAATAAAATACCCTAATTTTACGACTTACTCAAAACTTGGAAATGATGACCCAACCTAAGGGGGCTAAGAGGGAGGAAATCGAATCGGCGACTTTAAACAGTTTAACGTGCTTAAAGTCTTATGAACTCAGATCATCTCTCAGTGCATTTAAGTTCAGGGTGGCTTTTCTGTTTGTTGCACTGGCATTGTAAAGTTAGCTAATTAATCATGCATAAAACGGGCAAAATGGCGATTTTTACAGGGGGAGCCCGGATCTCCCAGGGAATTTAATATTTGGACCTGACATTCTTTCACATAAGTTAACTCCTGATACCTAACATTTGTGCCGAGTTTGAGCGAAATCGGTGATTTGAGCGTTATCACCCCCTGCCTGGTTCTGCCTGGTCTTCTCATGGACACACTCTTAAGACGTATAATCTATCTGACGCGAATTATCCAACGGATAATCCGTCTCTAGTGTGATTACGGCCAATCAGTGCGATTAAACTGCCGACTGGAGAATTTCGTTCACCAAAAACAGCTGTTGCTGGGTTGATAATTACAACAAAGCAATTTAAGCACTTATAAATAACCAAGTGTCATGACTAGGGAGTCCAACAGATTTTTGTGATGCGTTATTGTCGCCTTATTCGGCCTTCACCGTTCATGACACACGCCAATGGCATTCCACCTACGTAGGAGAAAATACGATCATAAAAACGCCCTCAATTACTAAGATTAATTCAGTCTCACTGTATAAACAAAAAAACAAAATAATATGTATGGTCAGAGGCCTCCCAACAAAACCCCTTATTCTGTTTCCTCGGTTGATAATTGATTTTCTTTGTTACCTCTGCTAAATGTGATACACCACATGAAAAATCATGATAAAACAAATTGAAAATATTGAGCGCGAATAAATTCGATTTTGCAGTTCTCCTCTAAAGATTTTATTTAAAAGCATTAAGAGTCGTGACACTCTACTTTGGGCATGAACTTTGTGAAAAAGTCTTTGACAATTTGGTATCGTCCATCGTCTACCGTCCAGAATTAATCATCTGGGTTTTAGCACATACATCCATTTTGGATCCTGCTGTATTAACTCACCCTCAATTGCGCCATGATCTCTTAGGCGAGAAACTTACGTAATGGCCAGTTGAATTCCCGCCAATAGATAGACTGCAAAACAGTCCGTTTTTTCTCAAAATCAGTAAAGAAATCGGTGAAACGTGGAGTAAGAGTCTTACGCGCGCGAAGCGCGCGAGCCTCACATGCCTTACGGGCGTGTGAGGCGAGAGAAAAAAAGGGCGTCTCTCCCCAGTCTCGCTCTCTGTTTTCAGCCTCATTCCAGACCTTTTGTTTGACTGCTCGCGCGTACTTGAATACACAAAAATACGGACTGTTTTGCAGTCCACCAATAGATGGAAACGGCGTAACGAACATAGGGGCCAATCGGCTTGGCATTTTCAAATCGGTAACTCAAGATGCAAAGAACATCGGTGACCACTTTTTTGTTCTTACTACATTTTGATGTCATCTGTAATCTTTTAGCTGTTACATGGAATCCGTTGTTTTAAAATTAAAGTAATAACGAGAAAAGGGGATCGAGATTTTGAAGTGTCGTGATTCACATTGAAGAGAAAAGGACATCTGCACATAAAAAAGATAATGTTTAACTCACCTTGATTACGAGGCTGAAAACCCATCAAACCGACGACTGGAACGGAGCCACAAGAAGCAAAACTTTCCCATACTTCTAAACCATCAGTGTCACCGACGCTGCTTGGGCCACTGTCTCGCCCTTGAAAATAGTCTGAGAACTTCGGAGGAATCAACGTCCGTCTTTTAACACCAATCTCCCCTTTTTCTAAATAAGTATATATACATTTCATGAAAACCAACTCTATCCATTCAAAAATGAACTTACTTTATTGTCTATCGTAGGTTTTCACATGACGTCACTAAAATCACAGGGGGCCCACACAATCTGTTCACGTTGTAGCCGATTGTTATTTTATAGTAAATGTACTGGATTTACCGTTTGCCTCACCTATACCGATATATCGCTAACTAGGTATATAAATCAATGATAAATAAACGTTGCATTACCTTACCTGTGGTATATAGTCGTCCTTTTGCCTCAAAAGCGGTTTTTGAGCGATTTTGAAGGAGTTTGAGTTCGCCGTTGACTGTTCCTTATAATAGAAGGACTATTGTGAAAGGTTTGAACCAAGGAGTCATTTCAAAAGTACGTTGACTCTGAAGATGACTACCGCACAGGTTGTCGAAACGTCAGTCACTGTCAACAACAACAGTCCTATTCAGGACTACGTTCACCCGAACGATCAAACTCAACCTACTTTTGAGAAGGACTATCATAAGGAACAGTCAATGGCGAACTCAAACACCTTCAAAATCGCTCAAAAAATCGCTTTTGAGGCAAAAGAACGACTACATACCACAAGTAAGGTAATTCAACGTTCATTTATCATTGATTTATATCCAGTACATTTACTATAAACTAACAATCGGCTAAAACGTGAACAGATTGTGTGGGCTCCCTGTGCTAAAATTCAAACTACAAAACTATCGATCCTACTGAGATTTTACTTTCGTGATGTATTAGACAGCTGAAAATTAATATTCACACAAATTTTCGGCTCGAAAGGGTTGAATTTCTAAGTTTTTACGCGACGCGGCATTTTCCTGACGGCTGAGAGAGCTGTCATGCAGGTTTAAAAAAGTGACTTATATCAGGGAATTTTGCTATCTGAACAGTTCATGTATCAGAAAAAGTATGACTTAAATGTTTGTGATATCCTCGAGAGATAAATTCACGCTTTTGTAGCAAAACTCACTAACAGATGTTTCTTTTGATTTCTGGCCGCCATGTTGGTGCCCATAATCCATACGGCCCAGCCATTTTCCAAAATAATTTGTAGGAAAAATAGGAGCAAAGAACCAAGAATGTAGGAGACTGATAGGATTTTACGACAAAATATGGGTGTTTTATAGGAGGATTTTTAGTCCCACACAAAAAAAATGTTAGTTTAGAAAAATAAACGAGTACTCGGATCATTCCTGAGAATGCGTTTACATGTCAGAAGTTTGCAATGATTGGGTTCGGCTGTCAATTTCACAAAAAAACAGTGAAGCATGTGAAACTAACGTTGAACCAAATCAAAATACAACTATTGGACCACGGTTCATTACAAGAGTTCATCACTGAAATGACTATTAAAATAAAAGTTAGCAATAATAAAACCTTTGGAAGGAAAGACACGACTTTTAATTAGAGTGAGGTTAATGTCACTCAAAAAAGAAAGAAAACGTCTTCAGATTCAGTAAAACACTTCCCTTCTTCAACTAGAACTTACCATTCGTTCAGTACATATATTAAATTGTTTTTGTCCTTACCTTTGCGAAATAAATGTTATTTATAGCTTTGAGTTTGCATTTTACACGCCAAAGATTACAACTGAGTCAAAGACGGCAAAACTATAACCATGCCCTCCCTCCTCCCCCGTGAAAATCGATTGAAAATAAGGCAAGTCATCAGAAAAAAACCTGAGGAAAAGCTGAAGAAGAGAAGTACTTAAGTAACAGAATTTCACAATAGCCTGTTCTATTAACCTGATTGAGGCCACTTTTCTGTCTTGCTTGATTGTCCAGCCGTATATGCCAGTCCCGTCACAGTGGACTTTCTCTTCTGTAAAGTGCCGGAGCCAACATCTTAAAAAGTGATTGACAATAAAATTCTGATTGATTTGCATTGATCAAGTGGTCACGTTGGCGAAAACAAAGACATACGACATGCCAGAATGAGGTAACCAAGTCGAGTATTTGGGAAACAGATCTGATATCAATTTCTCACAACCGAATATCGATGAGTTTGTTCTTACAAACACGTTTGCAAACAGAGGGAAAAAGGACCAAGATGCGGTCACAGTTACTGAAGCTATGTTCACACTTTACCGGATAGCTTTTTATGGCGCTATCCGGGAAAGTGTGAACAGAAGCAGCCCGGGCCGGGGCGGCACAAGTCGTTCACACATCGAACATCGCGCTAGACTACGAGCAGTCTTTCTTTTTTCTGTAGTCCGTCAAGCAAAACGCGAGACACGCAAATGGCCACGCGCGTGACTGATGGTGCGAGACGGGAGAGGCTTTTTTCTTCTCGGGCTGCCGCCCTCGTTTCGCGCGTCTCGCGGCTTCGCCGCTCCCGCGCGCGTGCATTGCTCTCACTAAATCTGACGAAAAAGAGAGACTGCTCGCAGTCTAACATCGCGCCGGCGCGGTTGGCCGAGAGGGTTTGTTGCACTAAACCCCAGTCCTTACTCCTGAATATTTACTTCCATCTCAGCGGGTTCCAGGCCTCGCTAAAAATTATTTAGTTCCGGGACGGGCGGAATAGGTGTTCACACTGAACAAAAGTATGGCACAAAACCTATCCGATATCAGACCCTTCACTTCGAAATCGACACGGCGCAGCTTCGCTCCATCACAGAAATCGCGCCAACACAACCGTTCATGTGTGTGAACAGAAGGCCTATCCGGTATGATTTTTGAGGCGGCGCATAGCCTAAATTACCTCAACAACTGTTCACCAAAAGATTTTATTTTGACAAACAAACGACAGGTTAACTGGATTTACACAAGCAAAAAAGGACCTACGATCGCACATTTGAAAAGAAACACGGATTCACCGGGAAGAGAACTATGCCTAAGCCACAATGTAAAAATGAAATTACGTCAGATTCAAGCCTACATCATAAACGTGAAGTGTTCATAACCCAAACACAGTATCTGCTAAACTCACCTTCATTACTGGGCTTTAATCCCACCAAGTTAAAGGTTGGAAACAATCCAAACCCAGGTAAACCAGCAAAAACTCCTCCACAAGCACCACCCACACTGGGTGGGCCACCCCCTCCCCCTGGAAAATAGTCTGAGAAATGAGGAATCTTCTTCCGTCTCTTAGCACCAATCTGCTCTTTACCTAAGAATAAGCAATATTAACAGTTAAAAAAAAAACTTCCCACTCATTAATAAAAGTATTTCTATCATTGTGTGTAATAGGCCATATTAAAAAATACTAATAATACTCTCTGTTTTCCCTTCAAAATTTTATATAAGCATTGTTTTCAGTTTCTCTTGAAACTATAGTAAGTCCTATGACTAATTCAAAACAATGCTTTATGCAAAATTTTCCATAAAAAAAAACTTTCAAAACTGAATCACCCGTTGAAAAAAGATATTGTGACACATCCCCAGAAGAGGTCGGTATTTATGGTATCGCTCCCTGTTAAAACAGCAGTGGTTTTGTTAAAACTATCTTAGAGAAGTCTAAGGAGATATATGAGCATGTTGGTTTTCTTGTGGAGTGCATTTCTTAGAATTTATTTGGCTTCAACTTTCAGCCTCAAATTCATGAAAAACTTATTTCCACTGTTGACGACTGTTAAAACATAGCTATAACTCAAAACGCAAAACGTACACGCCGATTTGAAACCACAAGCCTCCTAGCCACAAAGAGGGTGCTTTAATCTATCAAAATCCATCGTCCAACCTTTTCTGTCCTCTAGGTTGTGCAAAACGACCCTAGCTCCCGGACTTTGATCAATGTCGACATATCTGCCTTTGCAAGACATGCTTAATTGATCATCAAAATCATTTTTTTACACAATTAATAATAAATAATTATATCCCCTGACTCCGTTAAAACTTTTGTTATGATCAATAGTTAAAGAACTCTGCCTTAAACTGAGTCACATACCAAACATCTGTGGTTCATAAGTGAACTCCACAGGTTCACTGGTTTCCTGATCTGACTTCCGCCTCAGTTCAAGATGAACCTTAACAGGATTTTCAGTGGCAACATTCCAGTATGCAGGTGTTTTGAACACTATGGCAACCTATAATAGTTCATTCATCCACTTATTTTGCCATTAACCATTTTAAATTTACAATATACAATAAATTTCTAAAATATTAAAGATGTTAGACACTATTCTAAATTGTTTTTCAAATTAATGTTCAAAATTAATGGTAATGGCAATTAAAAGGAAGCCTATTGGAAGACATGGGCTTATAAACTATAGGCTTCCAGAGAATATGGGTTACACCATGTGAATTAAGGGTACTGAATGAAAAATGAATTATTACGAAAATAAAGAAAAGAGAAGAAAAAACATGTAGCTCAACCAAGAGTATATGTCACCAAGAAAGAAGGAGTTCTTTTAACGTCTTTTACCTAACAAACCAACACTTTCATTGTTTTGAATTTCACGATTTGGCGAGTTGAAAAACTTGGGACCTTGAAACCAAATTGAGAATAAAATTTATTAAAGATGTTATCTACTTTCTCTAATCATCAATGTTAAACAAACAGGCTATTTCAAATAATCTTTTTTGCCAATAAACTACACCTGTCTATGAACGTCTGTGGGAGTAAAGATTCCTTGAGCTTCCCACGTCCTCTTGCCAGTACTAGGGTCAGTCTCATAAAACACAACTTCAATATCGTCTGCAACACATTAGAGACACAAAAGAAACATAAGAAACAGATGGGTGATAAGGATTTTAGAGTCAAAGAGTTCACAACAACTATTACTGGTTAACCTGGGGAATGAAGTAATAATATAACATGGTCTGGTGTAGACCATGGGTTCCAGGATACCGGTGTTACACACCCACCATAACAAACTCCCAAACTCACAGACATCAGAAACCATGCCTACATGTATGCTTTGATAGTCGGCTGCTAATTAATATTGACAAAATGTAGGAAGACAGTTTAGAAATCACTCTGTCTAATGTCATCTGACATGTACAGAAATTTTACCATGACATACCTTTCTGCACCTTGTCACAAAGTAAGTAGACCTCATCATTTCCTGTAACACATCCAGAATTGCGTTCCATGCGACAAATCTTCAGATTGGAGGCTGATGGGGCTTCTGATTGGGAAAAAACAGCCAAGGGTTACAAAACAGACAATCTGCAACTACGGAGACAAAGAGAAAGTGGCAAGAGGCCATTGCCAACTGAATATGGGGAGATAGGAGGCATAATAATGACCCAGTTCTATGAACACAAAGGTTTTTTTAAAATAACACCCCAGAAGAGCTGACACTATAAATTCAAACATCAACTGACGAATAGGATATAGAAGTATCATTAATATATTTGCAAGCATTTGTGTCCATGTATGAATAAGCCAAGTTTGCGATCATCTTACTTGAATCATAAACTGGATCTGAGATACAAGGTGGCAATGCTTTAGTGAAGCAGCCACTCTCATCAGGAAGGTAGGCTTGAAAGCACAGTCGCACTGCACTTAAATTCATGTTAGTCTTCTGCTCCTCAACCATCTGCTGCACTTTGCGTGACTCCTCCTCTGTAAATCAGATAAATAGAACTCCGTTATCCTGCACCCACTGACTGTCTGATTTAAAAATGACAGGAACTGTTTAGTGTTAATTGGCTAATTAAGATGAACAAGATACAGTCATTTTAAAACTCCTGGGGTCCATTTCTCGAAAGGCCCGATAATTAACGGGCCCGGTAAGCTGTCTCCGTTTACATTAAAGATCGAGGTTTCAATAGTTTTGCATCTAGCATGATAAAACTATCAGTTAGTAAAACAAAATGGAGTAGTCTGCTAGCCAGGACCCACGCTCTTATTCTTTATATTTCAATTTGAATATTTGATTTTGGGCCCGAAAAGTTACCGGGACTTTCGAGAAACGGGCACCTGGCCCTAGGAGACAAAAGAACTTGATGAGAATCAACCTATGTTAAAAATTTTAACATGGATTTAATTTTTACCTGTAACATATACATTATTTTGTCACATTTATTTTAGATGTCAAAACCCACGTTAACTAAAAAAAAACAAAAACATAACATCAAAACTTCAACTTCAGGGCTCGGGTCTGTAGAGCAGACATTTTGATTAGAAGTCAAATGCTAGTGTTACCAATGTATATATGCCAACTGAAAAATGAGTCTGAAAAAATATCAAAAACCTGCATTTTTCTTCAATTTTCTGTTTGTGTCATAAATTAAATTGTTTTACATGAGCAGACCGTTAAGGGTCCAGCTGTTGAAGTAAACTGTACATAAGAATTATTCATTTTAAATTTTTGTAACTCACCCGCAATTGCTTCAGCCACATTTTTATTAAATTCTGACAGATCACCATCAGCTAAACCTTGATCCCTCATCGCTGCATCCGCATCAAACCCCTTGCTGTCCACTGTTAGTGCATTGAGGGTTGCTGTGCGGAGTGCCTGAAGTTTAATGTATCGATCCATCAGCACTTTAGACACACTCTTCCTTGTTACATGTTGAATACCAAGGTTTGGAAAACTAAAATTGAAAAATTATCATCATCATCAAAAAAAATATTATTAACAATCATATGTATTAAATAACCACAGTAATAAGCTATTGATTGTCAAAGGATCTTCTAAAAATGAACCTCTGATAAGTGACGACCCAAAATGCAAAAACTAAGTGGTTGCTTATGACAGGTGATCTTTTACAAGAATCGAACACTAGGTGGTCCCTCCTGAGAAGTCAGGTCTGGACACACCCACTTGATGGTCTATATGATTGTGTAGTTCCCTGCAGTCATTAAAAGTTCAGATTCGTATCCTTGAAGTAAGACAGTACGTGGAGCAAACATAGAGATAAGAACATAGCTTACAGGAGGTTAAAAACAATATTAGGAAAATAATTGAAGAGAGTCAGCCCCAAAAGTGGTTGTGGTAAGTTACAGAAGGTGGTCATTTGTGAAAGGTTCCAACTGTACGGCTTTGACCGCGAAAATTTTGGTGTTTTGAATAGGTGATGGCTTATGGGAGGTGGTTGCCTACAAGAGCTGGTTTTTCGCTTGGTCTTTGACTCTTGTTCCTCGTTCTTTGCTCTGAAACTGCACGGAAACATTAATTTGTTACACAGGCTACTTACAGAGCTACTGATGGACTCCTTCCAATTACAAGGGGTGGATCTGAGATCCTTTTTCTCTTGAAGGAGATTGTGATATGCATTGTTCCTTTTTGTGTGGCCCTTTTGTCTTTGAGGGTTGTTTAAAATATAAGTTGTTTTCTGTGGCCAAAGAGTAGTATTCATGGCACAAGAGAGGCTCTCTTCACTAGGTAATGAACACATCCATTATCTAACATACATTGACAAGAAAGAAGTCTTTGGTTGATCTGTTTCTAAGAAACACCCAAGGAAGCTTGAGCTTGGCACACTATTGAAAGATCATGATGCAAACATCATGCATCAAACCTAGCGAATAATACAGATTTCCAACTTTCTTTCTCCCTTTTCTTTCTTTTAACATCCCACATTTCCATTCTAAAAATTGAAGAATAAAGTACTCTGTTTAAAAAAAATTGCTTTTGAAGATTAAAAGTTTGAAAAATAACAAAGTTTTTCAAAATGCTCGAAACGCAGTCTCAAGCAACGCAATTCCCCCCAACCCAGAAACTAGCACCTCTGGCATTGTTTGGTCCATCTCCGCGATAGATTACACCTCCCGGTAAAAAATCCTGGCCACAGGCCTGAGTTTAATGGCAATTTGGAGACAATATTGCCTCACATTTTCAAAAGGGGGAATCAATAAGGAAAGATCTATAAAACTGAACATGAATGAGAACTCTGACCTCCCATAAAAAGAAACAGGAATTTCTGTGTGGCCCGCATGAGAAAAACTCTTTCCAAAAGGCATATTTCTGGCAGGTATGCCTTAACCTTAATTACAATGTCCAAGTTACAATACCTTGCTGTCATTCCATGCTCTGGGCCAATCTGTACTGTCACCACCCCATCATTGGAATTCTTTCCAATTAGACTGTGTGCATGTGGCATGTAAGGCTCGCTGACTGTTACTAATGACACAACAATACGGGCAGGGCCATGATAGTTACTCAGTTGGACTGAGGGGTATGACTTCTTGCCTTTCTCAGAATATTGGCCTGGTATGCCTCCATGAGATGGGCCCTCGCAAGGAAACCGGAAACGAAAGCCTCTCTAAAAAAACAAAGAAAAAATATTACATTTAAAGTGGCATGCATAAGCTGTAGTTGAAGTCTAACCTTCAGATAAGTTTTAATTTCCATTGTATAAATTGAAAGGTATGGTCGGGTATGAAAACAAAGGAAAATAAAATAATATTCAAACCAAATACAATAAATTGAACCACATTAACAACTAACATCAAAACCTCACTTGGACTAAATGTAGAAAAATAATATTATATTTTTCTATTTTGTTACCTGTTTAGGTTGTTCAAGAATTTCCAGGTAAGGACCTACAAAGAATAAAAATTATGTAATGTCTTATTATTTCTCATCACTGTTAACTGAAAAAGCAAAACATTCTAAAACATTTCTGATTATTAAGTCGTCCACTTTCAAGGGGCTTATACGTCAAGAGGATATTGTTGTCATTGGTCAATTCTGTGCTTACTGTATTCTCTCGATTAAACACCACTGACGTTTGCTTAAAAATTGGTGGTTTTGACCCAGCCTTTTCTCGAGCCGGGCATTTAATCAGGGTCTGGCGTTTATTAATGAAATGCAATTCTCCGTCACTTTTTCAGGTTGATTTATTATTACTGATCCTCAGAGACCCAGGAGCAGTTTGTCAGGTGGGATGATTTTACCCTTTGTCCTGCCCCAGGAACTTCAAGGATGACAACTGTATGTACATTACTCATAGTTACAGTATTATGGTGCCATACATTTTTATGTGCAGTATCCATCCTAGTTATGTTACAGCGGTATCTTTCCTTTTAAGAACATTATTTTATTAAAATACCAAAACAACATACTGTACTTTTTATTTCATAGCAGTGCTGTTTACGAGATTATATTTACTTATAACTGGTGCTTGTAACCTTGACAGGGCTCAGATTGAACACCCCAGCCATCATTATTTAAAAATCAGCAGTTTTGACACAGCATTTTTTCGAGGCCAGTGTTTAATTGGTGACCGGCGTTTAATCGAGAAAACACAGTATGTCATTACTTGGTGCCCTTACCCATACACAAAAATGTTCCATTAGAGATATGGAAGAGATATCAAACAAATTTCATCAGAAAGCCCCAACCATTACAATTTTGTTATTACAAATTGTTCAACAAACTGTTGGTAATGAAGAGTATTTTTTTCTGTAATATATATTTTTTGCGGCCAGCGGGCAGTGGTCAGTGGTCAGCAGTCAGCGATGATGATGGCCGTGTTTTTTGAAGCTGCATGGGTAGTTTGCATTATTTGTTGCCTTTTTGTCTTTAAATACTTTAGTTTTTTTTCGTGTAAGAGTTCCTGTGTAAGAGTTCCTGCTGTCTTTTATTTGAATATGTCAAAGAAAGGAAAGAAGCAAGACATGAATGACGATCGTTCAAAAAGGCACTTAAAAAATATTATCTTGCTCAATATTGACTTGCGTCCGTGTGTGTGTGCGTGCGTGCGTGTGTGCGTGTTTGTGTTTTAATGAATAACAAAACTACAAAAGAATAAAGTCAATCTTGTTAAAGGGCCATGATTAGTTTTACTATAATGTGCCCTTCTCCATTCTAATTTTCTTCTTTTATTATTATTACCGGTATGTACACGTAGTTTAAGCAACTTTGTACCAATTGATATTGTGCAACTATTGTATTATATATTGTACAACTAATGTATTATAGGATGGAGTAAAAATAAAATACAAAATACAAAATATATTTTTGTTTTTCTCTTTCTACAGGCAAGGCATCAAAATTTGAAAAAGTTGGCCCAAAACTTTTTCAAGTTTTAATTCATGTCCATCCTTTTCATCAGTTGCAACAGATGACTGGAAACAGGTGCAACGCCTACATTACTGTCTTAAATAACAAAACTGGACCATCATTATTGGAATTCAATAGCTGGAAACAAAGTTAAAAAGATAGCAAATAGCTTGACAAAGCCCCTTTCAATCCCAATGCCAATTAAAAAACAGCCTTAAAATTTTGTCCTCCAGTACAAATTCATAAGTGAAGGGTTAAAGAGTGTCTTTTTTAAATTATACCAGTATTAAATCTGGAATAATAATTTATTGACCTCTCTCTAAAGGTATTTACCTTGGTATGCAGCAGGCGGCACCTGTAATGCAGATACATCAGGTAGATATTCCGGGGTCATATCCATTAACAAGCTGTCTGTAAGTTTTTCACCTATCTGTCTCTCTGAGTTGGTTGCCATGGTAGCAGGAGATGGTTTCACTGCCAGGAGTGATGTCGGTTACTATACTTTAAATACCAAATGATACAGTTATCAAAACACAATCATCATAAAACTACTGTGTTAATCTTGCAAGATAATCTTGAGCTTAAGGTATGTATAGTAATACCTGCCAACTTTTTCTGAGATGTAGGCGTGAGATTTTTATCCTGGGAGTGCTGGGATTTTTGAAAACGACACGATCATTTCCGAAGATTCCCGAAGACGTCCGAAGTCTTCCGAAGACGTCCGAAGTCTGCCGAAGGCGAAGTTATCAAGAAAACGCTTATCCACAAAATCAGAGATCGCGAGGAAGGTATTGTCATTTATTCATTTTACACATGGTTTTCGTTCCTTACATGGGTCTGAGTTAACATATTTTTGGAAATTGTGTCAAGCAAGACGGCAACAACTCACATTTTTCAATCAGGCGTGAGAAATTGGTCCGCAGGCGTGAGCGGGCGTGAGATCGAAGTTTTCAACCCGCAGGCGTGAGACTCACGCCTAAGGCGTGAGAGTTGGCAGGTATAGGTATGCTGTTACCAAAATTACAAGAAAAAAAATTCAAAGACAATAATTTTTTGTGTTTAATAACATTGTAGTTTGTAATGTTATTAATAAGAGTAGACTGTTCATTTTCGTTGTTCAGTTAACAGAGAATTCTGGTTATAAGCTTAGCCAAACAAGTTACAAGCTCACCTGCTTACAGCTATCAACATTCAAAAGACACTATTTCACCCTACCTGGGTTATAGTCCTCCCTTCCCATACTCCAGATATTAATAACTCCACCCCAACTTTTTTCCCTTGGTACCTGGTATTTCAGGGATGTGCTCTAGCAAAGCCCGGTGGCCCCTGGCACCTAACTTTTGCCCTCGGGCAACTAGAAAATCTCAGATTTTTCATGCAAATCATATGCTGGGCACCCTAGATTTTACAGTTTCAGAGCAGTGGGGTCCCTTCAATTTTCTTTAAAGCACAGCCTTGTATTCATTATCACTTTTATAGCTAATAGTTATTGCACATTTCTTATCTCCAACACAGGGACAGACTGTCCAAATAACACTGCCTGCAACACCACTTACGATGTAATTTGGTAAATGTTTCAGATACTCTGTACACAGTATTTGTTCGTTTAGGTAAAATCCATTTTTAGGTTAAACCAGTATTCAAACTAGATTGATTCAGAATTTCCTTTGTTTCCTAACCCCAACAGAAAATTCTGGTAAAACCTGAGAGCGGCTTTTAGCCACAACACTGCCATTTTCATGGGGCAGGGCTAGTTCCAATATAGATGTAGGTATGTGCCGCCCAGGTCAGGGATGGAATCCCAGCCAACCTGAATTTTTTCAGGCTTTCTTTTACAACTGCATAAATTCTCTTTCATCTCGTCCTTAATGACCCTGGGCAGCACATACCGATGTGAAATTTATAGGAGTACCCTTCCCCTAAGGCACTATCCCGCGGTCACTGGTCATACTTTGATCCCCAGGGAGAGTAAGTTAAAGCACTGAAGACATGAAAATGAAGGAAACATTAGCACAAAGAACTTTTGCCTTGCATTCCAACTCACTACCCATTAACTGTTTATAGTTTGAACAAAAAGATCATCAAGTCTTTGTTTCTTGAGACCACATTACCACCATGTCCAGTGATCTCCATTTTCAGTTTGCTGGTGAAGACCTGGATTCTGTTAAATATTCGAAATCAGTGATAAAATTGCTACAGTAGCTTACCAAGCCAAACTTCTACAGGTATATTTCTTTTTTTTCAGATTTTGAGTAAAAAATTAAAAATTTGGCAAAGGAATTGAAAAAAATCATTTTCACCCAGTTTTTATAGTAAACTGCCTGAAAATAAGCTCGCGGTGGCACAAACAGCTTAGGAATTTTGATAAAATGATGTGAAGACCCCAGGGGGTGGGGGACTCCCATATGAAAAGGGCAGGCATGCTCGTTGGAAATTTTGAATTAAACCCCTAAAGAAGACCAATCTGGGCGAATCTGGGCATGGCCCAACCTTTTTTTGACCCCTAAAAGGGATCATTTTAAACTTCAATTACATGGATTGAGTAAATAAAACAAATTGAAAATATATAATTTTTTAATATTATTTTCTTTGAGCACAACCCTAAAAGAGACCTTTACGGCGACATATAATGGTGTCTTGCCCAGAACAGCCTAAGCGAGACCAAAATCTGAAATTTACACCCCTAAGCAAGACAACATGCATCCCCACCCCTGTCATATGGCAGTCCCAGTCCCCCACACCCCCCTCCCCCCAGGCTGACACAACATTTAATAATATTGCTACTCTTACAGCTTATTCTGTTATTCCACAAAAGGTGCCAGGAATGCTCCAATAAAAAGAGATGACTTATGGGCCTTATTCTCATGAGATTCGAGTCAACAGAAAATGTAAGCTTATTTTTCATGTCAGAGAATTATATTATTATTATTATTATTATTATTATATCCATCACCATCATCATCATCAACATCACTTTTATTAATACACGGTAAAAACAATCAGGTTAAATAGACTGTAAAATAACAATATACAATATCCTAAAAATGTTTACAAACTATAAAATTAATGATAATAGCATTTACGAAAACGAATGTTAAGATAAATAAATAAATAAATAAAATTAATTTATAAAATTAAACCCTGTTTTGCATAAATGCCGTGTTCAAGCTAGAAGTTAACAGTTTCCGAAAGCCAGTCAAAGATTTTACAGTTACAATAATATTTATAATGTGCGGTTTTAGAAGTCATCGTTAAAATAGAAAAATCTCAAAATTTGCATTTGCTTCATACTAATTTAATACTTTGTCGTTTATATACAGTAAAAATCGCCAAATTTATTTCCGTAGCAGTTGACAAAGAAATCGTTCTTTTTATTCATAAAGGTACTTGATTCTTATTGGGTTATTCCAGAAAAAATCCACACCCTCACGATGGAAGGCATGCTGGAAAATCTCACGGGAGGGGGGGTTAACGGCTCTGGAAATCCAGACGGGAGGGGGGCTCTGAACCTAAAAATACATCCTCGGGGGTAACTTTATCGATTTCATCAATGTTTTAATCGCTTCACTCTATAAGTTTTCAAAGCATTGCTTTGCCTTTTCAAATTTTATTATTCTTTCAAACTACAAACCTCTTACCACATTTATTTTAAGTTTCCATCCATAGGCTCGCCCACGTTACTTTTGTAGAAGCAACGTTCGATAACTTGAAGATATCAAGAAAAATCGTATAATTCATAATTATGCATTTCTGGGAATAATTTCTTTTTACATAACAAATCCAAATCAGATTTGTCTGAATAAAAAATAGCCATACTTCATTGTCAGAAATCTAGCCGGAGAATTATGCATAGTAGACGGAGAATTCTCCAATCTCCGATGCTTAATGAAACCCCTACCAGATACCAGATACAATTTTTTTAGATGAAGCATCAACATAGTTTTCCCATGTTAGATTTTTGTCAATAAGCATGCCACGAGACTAATAGAGCAATGAGAATGCTTGATTGGAGCATTATTTATATTCAAGGAAGGCAGAGAAGGTAGATTATTAAGCTTTTGCCTTGAGCCAATTAACATGAACTCAGTTTTAGTCATATTTAGCGTTAATTTACTTGCAGTAAGCCAGCAATTTATGCTGAGCAAATCCTCATTCAGGGAAGACTGAACGGAGGGGATATTACCATTTGAATAAGTCAGATGGGTATCATCAGCACACATTCTTGGCACAGAGTGAGACAGACAATTGCGCAAATCATTGATATACTAGCAAAAACAGTAAAGGCCCTAATATTGTTAACTGGGGAATATCACACTTGATGGTGTAACATTCTGTAAGGGAACCATTGACAATGCATTTCTGGGTACGATTTCTAAATAGGAGGAGAACAATATTTTTATTTATGGGAAACACCTATTAGACCATAGAGATGTAATTTAGACAATAGAATGTGGTCATCGACTGTGAGGAAAACAACAGCGTTAACATTACCAACCGTATTTATTCGAATAAGCACCCAACCTCGAATTAGCGCCCACCTCGAATAAGCGCTCATCCTAAAGGGCGAAAAAGTTAATAAGCACCCACCCTCTCCTCCTCCCAATCAAACTCAAATAAGCGCTCACCCCCACCCCACCCACTTGAGTGAATAAATTCTAATAAGAGACTTCCCCGAGGACGGAGTTTTCCTCAGAGTATTTTACAGAAACCTTGCTTTGTTATGCACCTATCAATGTAATGCCGGCGGGGGGCAGGGGGAGGCAGGGTATAGGGTGGGGATTTGACTTTTTTCAAAAATTTTCAATCAAATCCCCTGCCCACAGGCAAATCATTCCAGTCAAATGCAACCAAATTTCCCCACACCAGGCTGCACATTGGTGTCCATCCCAAGGCAGAGCCTAAGAAACGCACAATAAAAATATCTCCAAATAAAACTCTGCAATCTTTTTTAATTTTAAATGTTGCTGCATCACCAAAGATATATCTTCCTGTTACAGCTGCAATTATACGTTTTAACCATAATCCGTGTTACACTGCGTAGAATACATAAACCTTTAGGAGAAAGTCCACATTTTGTAAGTCTAAATATACCGTTCTTAGTAAAAGGTACAAAGAAAGTCAGTTTTATAAGTTTACAGTGATTGTAGCGAATGAGCCATACACTAATCAATTGTACTTGCAAAAATCGACTCAGTTTCTCTTTACTTCCGCTTACTTTGATACCACAGTATATTAAGAGGTTCAATTGATCAAAAACATGCTAAAACAAACGAAATTTGAAGACAAAACAGTGAAATCCACTCAGCCTTTGATTGCTCTCATTGGCCTCCATGACTTCCTGATCTTTTCAAACCGTATGGCGCATGCGTGAAGCGTGGAAGCGGGAAACATATGTTCGGTCTCAGTCTTTTTCGTCCGAGTCGGCAGTCAAATATCTCCACGTCGGGCGAAGAAAGATTCAAATATCCCTTCCCCCGGGAGAACAAGATCAGTCAAATGCCCTACCCCAGGGTCAACAAAGACAATCAAATCCCCACCTCTTGTCTCAGAGACAATTTGCCCCGAAATGCTCATTTTTGGCAAGTAGGCCTCTTGGACATTGTTCTTTCAGAATATCCTGACAAATCTCATAATTTCAGAAATTTCATTTTTATGACGTCACACTTTAGTACTCTATAAGGATGTAACTGTTGAATGAAGCACGCAGAGCCCAGATTAGTGCTATTATGATCCGATAAATAGGCAAAGAGTTGATTATAGATAATTCTTTCAAATACTTTACCAGTTATAGAGATAACTGAAATTGGACGATTATTGTCTATATCGCTTCTTTCGCCATGCTAACAGAGGAGCAACCCTCGCAGACTTCCAATCGGCGGGAAAACCATTAGCTAAAGAACTATTACTAATAAATGTAATTGAAATATGAGGTGCAATCAAATCAGCGCAATTAAGAATAAGCCGACTAGACATTCCATCGAGACCAGCTCCTTTAGATTTGTTCAGTTTTTTAAAAAAGAGACAAAACCTGATTGCTATCAGTGGAGACGAGCTGGAATCTTTCACTAAGGCCCGAGGTATAATCCTGAAAACTAGAGTCATTGTTGATCGAAAGGTATTTCGCTTGCCAGTTTGGGGCTTTTCACCAGCGAAAGTTCGTTTTCCCTATAACTCAAAGTGGTATAGATCAATCATTACTATCCTTCGCAGATCTTTCATTTTGTCACATTCACCCGGCCCGTTTTGCGTTGTATTCAGCTCGCTTGAACACCAGCACATTGCCGATCGCTGAGCTCGATCATCGAACAAGAGCGAATGTTTCCAAGATGTATTGTGCCGTCTAATCGACGCCATTGAAATATTCCGCCTACCTTCAAAAATTGGCAATTGAACTGTCCTTTGAAAACTGTTATTCTGTCCTTCCTTGTGTCACTTTTCCGTCGTACATTTACTGAGGAAAATGAATTTACGCGTGTGCCGTCCATTTCCCCCTTGCCTTTTCCCGTACGGCGTTTTCCCAGTCCCTCTCGGTCAATTCACTGAGGCCAAGGGCCAACGAGCGGGAAACGCCTCACTAGCCTGCATTACGAGACGAGGGGACGAGAAAAAATAAGGCGCCTGTTGCTAGTCCATTGTTCTGGCTCCTTCCACGTTCACTACATGAACGTCGTGCTGCAATTGGTTAATTGATGACGTGTTGCTCTGGCGAGATTCTGGCAAGTTTGTTTGGAACAAAATGGCCGTACGTGACGCAGTCATATCTTTTTCACTATGCTTTTAGAGAAAGTTCTTTGTTTACTTCCAAATGTTCCGGAGATAAAGGAAAAACAAAAGAAATGTTTAAATTTATTGCTCGCTGCGCTTTTCAAAAACACGCGGATTCTGGAGTTCAAAAGCCAACTGACGTTTGCCTGGTTTGCGTTTTTCGCTGCTGCGGACCTCGTAGTAGCCTGAATTTCATCCGATTACTTCGAGTCGTTATTACTCCCTCACGCTGAGGGAGTAATAACGACTGGGTAATCGGATGAAATTCAGGCTAACCTCGTAGGAAATAGAGTATTACTTCAACGGGTTTAAAAGGGCGCTTTCCATTTAGGTAAAAAAATCCGGAAAATTCGGTGGGAACAAACATGGATTTTACGATAGGTAAAAACTTGTTCCATTTGATCGTAAACCCCAGTGACCGTGAGGCGCCGAGCCCGTTACCCGATGGGAAACCAAGATGGCTGCCGAGTCGGTAACAATTGAAACTGGTATAAACCGCGAGAAACGTGTAGATGGGACAAGAAATTCCGTTCGAAACGTTCCAACCGGAAAACGGGCCTACCTTTATAGATTTTCCCGTTTTTCAGGGAATTTTCCAGTGGGAAGAGCCGACGAAACGTTTTCCATTTACTGCCGAACCGAAATTTCCGTAGCCTGCGAAAACATCCGTTTCTCCTCCCTCTTCGCCGCTGGGGACGTTTCGCGCGGCGGCGATAAGCGAGGAGAAATGGATGTTTTCGCAGGCTAAAATTTCCGAAAATTTCGACAAAATGGAAAGCGCCCAAGGTCATGGCTTGTGATTGGCGGATTTCGATCCGTTTGGTGTTTCTGTTTCAAGGTTCGCTGCTTGTGATCGTAATTAAAGGCAGTGAAAAGAGCAATTGTGAAGGCGGCTTTTAAACTTCAGAGTTCGTGTGTTTTTGAAAAGTGCAGTAAGAGGAAAGATGTTCTTGGATTGCTTCCAACTGGGCTTGGAAAAAGTTAAACTTTTTGAAAGCGTTAACAGGCCAAACACGACTCATAAGCTCGTGGTAATGTGAAGCGTGACCTTGGAATTAGTTTGAACAACAGGCTTTCCCTCTTTTCTTTCTCGACGCTGTGTTTGGACATGAACTGAACTTTGACTGAGAAAATCTTATTTTTGCCGCACTGAGTCTTACATTATTGAAGGTGATTCATGTCCTCGTAGTAGTTATTTCCTGTGGTTTATGGATCGTGTTTTCAACTCTTCATTGGTCCTTCTGACATGACCGCCGTCAGTCAATATTTGTGGGCGTAGGCGTGGGTGGAAGAGCCAGAACAATGGACTGGCAACAGGCGCTTTATTTTTTTCTCCTCCCATCGTCTCGAGTTTCACGCTTCGCCCAAATACCATGTTTGCCTCTCTTGTCTCATAAAGCGCCTGTTATGTAGGCTAACGCCTCCCATTTTCGCTTGGACCACCTGACCCGAAACGCTTTGCCCGCGCGGAATAATTAGGCCTAGGAACTAGGCAACATTCCCCCGGAGACACAAGGTACTTCCAAATAATTCTACGTCAGCCTTCTGAGGGTCACTGAAAAGCGAAGCTTTCCTACCGAGGCACGAAGAGCCGAGAAGACAATGTTATACCGTAAAATTCAGAAAATAAGCCCCGGAGCATTGGTTAATATATTAGCAGGACCCGGTTTCTCGAAAGATGATTAAGTTTAACCCAGGATTAAGCCAAATTTTAAGCAAGGTTTTCTTTTCTAAGAATAGTCATGTAACTCAAACTTTCAAAATACTGTTAAGCCTTTACTCTGAAATACCATAGGCGGACGGGCCGGGGGGGGCGAGGGGAGCTGCAGCCCCCAAATTTTTTGGGCAACTCAGATTTTTTGGGCAGCAAGAGAAAATTTGTCAAAGACAGTTTTTAAAGACGTTTCCATGATTTTTTTATTATATTTACGAGATAAATATTTTCTATTTTAACCTGAAGTCAGCGTGATAAACCAGTTACATTCACATGAGACAGTGGTTGCCTAGCAGGTGATGAGTTTCTGGTTATTAGGGAAGGGTATCATTATGTCTATTTATTTATTTGTGGTTTTTTTATTGTTGGGCACCGTACTGCACTGCACTAGCTGGAATGGGCTATTTTCAGTCGTGAATTGATTAGAATAAACTTGTAGAATCAGTCTCCGTTTGTAGAACAGTGTATGGCAGATAACATCTGCAATTGGTATGAAAATGAAGAATTGCCTTGACTAATCCTCAGTTTAAATCACGAGAAGAATCTTAAAGTTTTTTAAAAAAAATCTATCGAGCGGTTTAAAAATTATTCCCTAGTTTCTTAAAGCAGACCGAAATGCTGTTTACAAAACCGCTAACAAGATCAGTGCCTTGATACATACTATACAAATACTTCTTTCTAGCAATCGGCCAAAGCTATCTCCATGATCTTTCACATACGTTTTTAAAAAGATTGAAACTACTATGAGTTGAAATTGCATGGTCAAAAGCGCTTTGTTTTCTACAGATAACGGCCAAACACCAAGATTTTCTAACGATTAAAACTTCATCCCAAAATATCTCGATAACGCTCTTACAGATTCCGCTTTAAATTCACGAACACCGATGAAAACTTAAAGCTCCCGTGAACGATTTTGGAAGAACAGTTCCCAGTGCCGAGAAATATTGCTGTAAGTAAAATCATCGGGAAACGCAAAGGGAAACATAAGCCTTTGTTTTTAAAGTACTCTGAAAATTTAGGATTGACACCCTGTGAAGGCTGACACTTTGTCGCACCATGGTAGGAAGTAGTATATGCTTAAAACCTACGACCACTTCTAATTGAGACTTATAGATAATGTGAATGTCAAATTATAAAATACATACCAATAGTTGTTATAACATTTGCTGAAAAGTAGAGCGAACCAGAATACGTCCAGTTATAACTACTCGATGCTCTTGATGGACAAGTTACCTTCAATTTGTAAACGTTTTTTACTAAGTTATCGAATTCATCCTTCAGCATGTTTACGCTCAGGTTTTTGTGTAAACTATCTAAAGTAGCTTGATTGATTTGTTCGTAAAATTGGTGATCTTGGCCATACTGGTTTGGACTTTCGAGGACGTGAAAAATCCCAGCTCCCACAAATAGAAATGTAGCTACCAAAATATTGAGGATAATAATGTCTCTAACGGTAGCTTTCATGACGAACTGTTGCCTTGGAATCCACTTTAAACTTTATGAAAATACTTATTTTTTATAGTCCTGGAATAACTTTCTGGGGCAGCCGCAAGGATCATCTAGAACTTTCCAACTGGCTGGCATACAACTCTGATGAGTCAACACAAAACTGATTCGAAGTTTCTTAGTGCTAAGTTATGAATGAAACACGATTAAGAATTCCTCCAAATAGAAATGTGTTTTGGTTTAATCATTACCATGTTTTTTACCTCAGAAACTTTGTTTTTTTACATCCACCAATTATTATAATGGCCTCATATAGAGGATTGTTGCTACAGCAACAGGGATTTATAGAGTTAATAAAACTTACTGTCAAAAAAGCGAGACTTGTAACAATTACTATAGAGCACTGTAAGATTCGAACTATCCTCTCGGTTTAATGTCTATTTAAATATTCTTTCATAGCGTGTTAACGTTGTAAGATCTTGAGGAATTCTAATTCCTCATCTTATGAAATATTTACGAGTGAAATCAAAACACTTCATACACAGTTGAAGATGCATTCTCATACAAAGGACCAGTAGAAACATACAAAAATAAATCTGTGAGAGGAAATAGATATAAGGTCCGCTAGAGTTCCACTGAGGGAAGTTATGATAGTTTCTGGGAGTAGCAAACTACGGCATGCAACGTTCCTGTGCATACTTGACGAGACAAAAGATTACAAGAAGTGACAAGTAATCCTCCGTATAACGGAGTTGACCGGGTATTTACCATTTACATAAACCACCGTGGTGGAAATATTGTGCATAAACATAAAACTATACAATTTGATGCGGTGGGAGAAGGACCCACTCGGCATTTATTCCTTGACTACCTCGGAACTATCGATAACAATAAATCTAAGCGCATAAAACATGGGTCACGGGCTTTATTCCTCCCGAGGAAGATTTTTTAAAAAACCTCGAAAATTACACTGTGCCTGTTAAGCATGTGTTGCCTATTTATATCCGTTTCCTCCTTTCATAAATGTAAAAAAAAACGTCGGAAGAGGCCGCTTCGACAGAGAGGTTTTCAAGGGAAGATAAGTTAGATTTTGGAACACAATAATTCCGACTTCCTCCAAGCTACAATAAATCGAACAATAATTTTCGTTGCTATAGAATCACACAGCTTAAAATTACCGTTTTACAGTGTCGAAACCACACGGCGAAGAGGAGTTCTTGCAGATTTCTCTTGTTTATACGCTGTCTATTACTAACATTAGCATCTACCTAGAGCTATTGGTGTTCATACTCGTCACCAGGACTTTTCCGTTTTCTAATTGAAGAAGATTGTCATTAAAGTTACTTGAGGAGAACTGAACTCATCATACTGTGTTTCAGTTTGGAGTACCATTGGGTTTGGGGATATGGTCCCCAAGAAAGGAAACGCACCCTCATCAGCGGTCCAAAAAACTGGAATACATCATCCGGGGTTTATATCTTGTAATCGGCCTCTTCCTGGTGTCGAGTCTTGTTTCTTCAGTGGTATCTGCAGTGAAGGTGTTGGATGGATGGGATTGTTGTAGGCGGACAAG